TACGACTGCCTGGTGAATTTGTTTCTCCCTCGAGCTTCCCACCAGTGGTAGATCACGCTTCATACGTCAGCAGGCTTACAAACGCAATGCGTTCAGTTAAACCTGCTCCCCTTCGTCCACAGTCCATTGATGTTTTCGTTCATCCGTGTTTGAAAACTTCTTCACATGTATTTGTTCGTCGCGACTCTGTGCGCAGACCCCTGGAACCTCCATACGACGGACCTTATAAAGTAATTAAACGTTCTGATAAATTCTTTGTCTTGGACAAAAACGGCCGCGAGGACACCGTCAGCATTGACCGTCTGAAACCGGCTTACTTGGAGGGTAATCCTATTAGCATAGAGCTCAACGTACCCCAAAATCCACAAGTAACAGAAGATCGTTTAGACATCGATGAAGTCACTAGCACAGCGACAGCTACCGAACCTTCTATCGAGCCTCCTAAGAAAACCCGTTCTGGACGCACCGTAAGGTTCCCAGAATATCTGCACACTTATTTGACTTAACGAAGTCGTGTGATTCACGCAACTCATCCGTTTGTGGTACTAACTATTTTTTTTAGACGTATCAATTTTTTTATATACAGTACCACTAAACACAAAAATTTTTTTCAACAGTTCATGTAACAGGCACAAAAAATTTTATTAGATGTATTTTTTTCGATGTTCTGAACTTAGCATTATTTTACTGTATAGTAAATGCACATCATTTTTTTAGACAAAAAAAGCTGATTTGGTACATTTTCCTCGACATGGTTCTTAGCGTTCTTGTTTTCTTTTCCAGGTGCGACGGGCACTGGACAGGAAACAAACGAAGCACGGGATCCAACGAACAACCTCAAGGAAGCTATGTACAAACACCCTATTAGCATAGGCAGACAAACCAGTAGGCACCCCACCAAGCCGCTCGGAAGATTTTTTTCACCCGAAAGGGAACCATCGAGTTTTTTAACTTCCGGCTGGTTCTTTCTTAGGGTCCTCATCACCCCACTAGGGGGGAATGAGCTGTAGCGGTAAATAATTCCCCAAAATTATTGACCACACCAATCACTCACCATTGGATACTGACCACCACTGTTTAAGTCGACTTGTTTAGCTGAAGGCTTCCGGTCAAGCGTCCCCGCCATTTGGTACCTCGTCGTGTCACGTGCACGATCACTAGCCAGCTAAGCGTTCGTATGACGGCTTGTTTTGGTCCCGAAATATATCATGTAGTTTGGACGATCAAATATTGGCTTTTGCTTTGTCTTTGGTACGCGAGAATAAATTAGTTAGAAGTTGCTGAACAAGATATCCGTCAACCTCTAAAATGTGTTCGTGTCTGCAAACCAGATATCCGAAAGACTAAAGGTACGTGATATAGTCAGTTGATGTACCTCCTTAATAGAATAAGTCTGCAGGGTCTCCAACGTTTTGGGTTTACTTTAAATCTGTTTCGGAAAGTTCGGTCTTTTGATTTCACTGTTCCATTTAGGTTTACATATCTGGATCTTATTTGCAAATTATCGGGTGCAACAGGAACGGCAAATTTATGATCAGGTGGATGATTTACGCAAGTGAATAGAAGCTGCTTGAAACCAATGATAAAAATACATCACATTCACACCTTATCTCGGGGAGTGATGCTCTTATAAAATCTAGCTTGTAGACACCACTTGTTTGAAGTCATTATCATCACAATTTTCTCTATTACTGGTGAAAACCTACGGGAAAAATCTCATGATGAAATGAAGTACTTTAATGCAGTCTGGTTGGTGGACTGGAACTCGTTAACTACAGATGTGTCAGTTCAATATGATAGACATATCCAAACACGTTACTGATCTTAACGAAATGGGAGAAGATCAAAGTGGTTAAAACAGATGACCGAAAACATATCTAAGAAATGATACTAGTCCAGTCAAAGTGGGATCACTCACAGAATGAAAAAATTGAAAATTCTGACGAAAATAATTTAAAAAATCAAAAGAAAAATGTACAGGGCGAGTAAAAAGTAGCCACTCTTGTGTGAGAAAAAAAACAAATTTTATTGTTATACCATTTATTCTTTGACCTTGTGTAATAACTTTATTGTTAGTTACATGTCGGTATAAGAATAAAGATTCTTGAGTCGCCAATCAGTGTTCCGGTTTTCGCGCTGGTTAATACAAAGTGTTTCTGAAAGTCTTCGAGGGACAGCGTGAGGTCCAGCGTAGTAAGAGCTGGACATTGACAGTTTGTGAGAGTTGACTGAAAGCATGGATAAGTATTATTTAAATTACATAATTTACGACTAAATTACATGGTTGCTGTCATTTTGTCTTTAGTTTGTGGGAAAAATCTGATAACTAGTCATTCGATGAACCGCATGAAGAAATATAGAGATATTGAATTCGCAAGTAACACTCAACCCTATTTCACACTTCTGCAAGCATTTTATGGATCCAATATTGGTATGCGTGCTGTTAGTGTTTCTGCATTTTGAATTCGAATTTGTCGTGGCCATCAGTCTTTGTGTATTGTTTTTGAATTGAGAACTTTTTATAATGTGAGGTATCAACGTAAGGTGCAGGTGATAAAAGTCTGTGAGTTAAAGTTACCTCATCTTTGACGTGCAGTTTGTTCGTTTCTACTCGAGATTATCGTACACTGTTGGGTTTAAAGGGATCAGACCATCTTAGCTCTTCAGTTTTAACCTGGCGTGCTGTTATAAACCATAAAATACTTCTCACTTAAGTATATGATGGTGACGGAGAAAGTATTATGATCTCCAGTCACTAGTTGGGATGTAGTAAGAAGCGATCCCACCAAAGGGACAGGATGGAACACCCCAGGAAGTCAGACATTGCAGCTACTGAATAAATATTTTATTTTAAAAAAAAAAAAAAAAATAAAAAACTTAAAAAATGGAAAAAAAATAATCCAATAACCTGGGTGTGTACAAATCCGAATCTCATTTTTGATTTGATTTATATCCAAATTGGGTAATAAGGAAGCTATTTTTACAGATATTTTTACAGAATGATAGCCGACTATAAGTGGAATATGGATGTTATACTTAGCTGAGTCCGAAATAGAACGAGCTCAAAGGCGTTCCACAACTGGACTCCTAGCGGCGAATTAAAAATATGTATCGGAAAGATTTTAGGTCGAGGTTCTTTAGTGAGGGATCAGAATTTATTCAGGAAGTTTCAGAAAGCCCTTCAAAATTAAAAGATCAAGTAGCCACAGAATTAATCTCTAGTATCCCTTACTCAGAACACAAAGAAAAGCAGATAAATTTCAGCGGTATGTCATAGCATGGCTCTAGTAACTTTCCTTTGTATCCAGCTAGCCACAAAGCTTTAGCTGAAAGCAACTAGTATTGAAAGTGAATTTGGTGAGCCCAGCAGTGCAAAATGAAGTAGGGAAGACATTCAGTACAATCCGATAGAAAGAAAACCTATGGAAGCGAGACAAAGGCATGTTTCTGACTTGTGTGCTCGTTTGATTCCTGTGTATTCCGTAACTACCGAAGGCCTATTGATTAGTCCTAGGGTTTCTGGGACGTTCTATGTAGTGTAGAGATGTTACAGGTTCATTAATTTCTTCAGGCTACGGAAGCTAATGGATGTTGTGTTAAAAAGCATTGAATTTTCCGGATGATATGGATGTGCAGGCAATTGGTAAAGATAAAAAGCTGTGGTATGTTTGATTTGAGGAAACTTACACTTTCAAATGTTTCAAAAACACCTTTCTTTTGTCCACATACTTTTTTGATCAGTCCGTTTGGGATTCAGATTCACATTCTAAGGTTGGAAGGCACTTGCTGCCTATGTTAATCCTTGCTATATATATCTCTGCAGAGACCCAGTTTCGCTTTGAAAGCATTCACCAATTTTGTTTTTTGATTTCAGCTTGATTCCACACTGTATTTTTGGTACAATTATGGAATTTTCAGCATGGATATCGGTAGCCCAAATTTCGCAGGCCGACCATAGATATCAGGTGTGCGTCGGCAGGAGATCGAACCCCGGACCATGTGCATGGTTGGCGAGAGTCTTAACCACTGTATCACCGACGCGGTTACTACTGAATCAGGTAAGGAGTTCCAGTCGTTGAACACCATGTGAGAGAATCTAAACTCCAAACGTATTTTATTCGACCTTGGTTTGAGCACCTTCTGGTGGCGACCTCGTAAATGTGTCCTAGAGGGAGAGAAAAGGTTTGAAAGGTCACTCCCTAAATCACTCCTGAACATACGGTAAGCCAAAATTAAGTTGTCTCTCCTCCTTTGGTATGTTAATGGGAAGAGATTTAAATGCTTCATCCTCATATCATAAGGAAGGTGTGAGATGCCACTAACTAATTCCGTTCCTAACCTCTTTACTATTTGCAGGTTATGTGCCTCCTTTCTGAAGCATGGACTAGCCGCTTGTATGCATAACACCAGATGAGGCCTGACATATGTTGCATAGAGTACTTGGAGCATGCCCTCTTCGAAGTGCCCATAGCATTCGGAAAGCATTAGCTGCGGCTCGATTACAGTTCGCCGTTGTTTTTAAGTCATGGCTAACAATAATTCCCAAGTCTTTGTATCCCCTAACGTCTGGCAGTTCTATGTCCCCCATGGAGTACGACGTGTAAGACTTCTGACCTAGATGCATTACCACGCTTTTCTCGGAATTAATTTACATACTCCAAAGGTTAACCCATTCGGTTAATTTGTTTAAATCGTTTTGTAGTCCCAACCTATCATCATTATTATTTACGGTTTTCCATATGATAATATCGTCCGCAAATAGTAAGGAAGATGAGGGAGAATTCTCATTTTGCATAGAATTTCTTTTTGTCCATTTCCCATCCACTTCTAAGCTGTATCTAATCTGTGTTTCCAGCAGCCATTGAGTTAGTTTGATTTCACCAACTTTCCAGTGCCACGTTATCGTCTTATACGAAATTTGGTGTTACTGCTCAAGGTCGACACCTTGCTCATCGCGCCTTTTTGAAGGTACGTGGAACGGTTGGAAATACATAGACGCAATGGGCAATTCTGATGTGGATATCGCAAATGTTGAGCTATACAGTTTGCGTCCTTTACTTTTTCACGGATACATACTGCCATTTGTACTTCTGTATGCCATTTGGGTTGGATACTGGACAAGTGTGCTAGGATTTTATGAGTATATGGAATTGGGTTTTATTGTTGTCGCCGCTATCGGATTCGTGCAAATAATCGTTTGCCTTTGCTGTCACTGGTTTGTTGGATTTGAATGCTTGATGACATGTCGGAAGGTAAGCACATTTATGGTAAATTATTCCACCCAAGCAAACAAGTGTTGCAGCATCTGAGTATGTGAAAGTCGTGCCCACTCCCAATACGGGCTACCCAATGCTGGTGAAAATCGAAAAACAAAAGGTTAGAAGTCTTCAGTGTGAGTTTTAACTTGAATACAGGGTAAACTCGCGGGGGAAACTGTATATTCATTCCATTTTCAACGGCTAAAATATACATTCAAAACTGATGAGAAAAGTAGTTTTCACCCTGTTGAATTTCCAGTTGATTGGGACATGCGAAGTTATCTTAGTTGGAGAGGTTATGAGACAGTGGAACAACAGCTGAACGCCCAACAGAAATATGGGATAAATGAGTAGCTCAAAATAATCATACTTAACTGTTAGATTGCATTTAGATGTGCCGTCCTTCGCGGAGTTATTTAAGGAGCGTGCAACTGCTCCGTTTTTTGTTTTTCAAGTGTTCTCTGTTGGTCTCTGGTGCCTCGACAATTATTGGGTTTATCCGGTGCTGGTTTTGGGTTTGCTGTGTCTTTTCGAAGCTAGCTTAGTGCAACAGCAGCTGAAAAACATGTCGGAGATACGCTCAATGTCTGAAAAACCGTACAACATCCATGTAAGCTTTTGCAATCCCGAATTAAGTTCGTTCATTTTTCTATTGATAAGCTTGTCATCCGAGAATGCGACCTTAGTAACTAGTGAATTATTTTATTTATTTATTTAAACGCATAAAAACTTGGTACGATATGGCACCAAGAAGGATGCGCCACACAATAATAATAAAACAACATAGATCAAAAAAAGGAAGGAAAAGAAAAAATATATATAAGTAGAGAACGGATAAAGAACTTCATGTGGAAGGAAAACAGTCATGCTTAACAAGTTCAAACAGTGTTCGTTAACTATCATCGAGAACGGAAGAAAGAAGGAAATTTCAACATGTGCAGTAGCACGCAATAGGTTTCATTGATTGTTTGTTGCTTCATTCAATTCATTGTGTGCGGGCTGAGATACTGCCCGGGCGCCCAGACCGAGACAGGTGGTTTTATTAAGGGACCACCCCTTAACAGCCTTTAACTTGGAGTCTAATCCTCAAGGCAGCGGAGCAGCGTCAGTAGCTGCATTCCCATGGTTGATGGTGACTCATATGGGTTCATACGCCATTCGATCCGATTGGATACTGGAGCCCATGTACCCCATGGTAACTTCTTTTAGTTTAACCGCTATCCAAACAACCTTCCTGACATGGCAGGACCTGCAGGGACAGGTCGCACTCAGTTTAGCATGTTGGGTCATTACGGAAATCAAGCCCGACCACCAAGACAAGGTAGCAGTTATCGGCCGACTATTGGATTACATAGTTATATTTTAAATCTATGTGTTTACTGCTTTTGGCGAAAATTTATAATTGAATTCGACAAGTGAATGAACTTGTCAAGTGTCTATTTCCTCTTTTTCAATAAGTTGTAGGACAGTTGATTATAATTCACCGACGTAGTTTTCCTATCACCAAGTTCATGGTTTACTCACCGATTTCTGAAGTTTACGTTAGACTGTTAGCTACTCGTGAGGCTATGAGGCCTGGTAATTGCGGCTTAATTAGTAGCTTTGCCCTCATTACATTTCAAAGTTCTTCTTTTGGGACTGCGTGTACTTACTCATGTCGTTTGTGAGGACACCTAGTGCCCTGTTTTCTGACGGTGCCTGGAGGTGTGTTGTTGTGCAACTTCGTAATGCGAGCAAGGCAGACAATTAACCAATTCTGCTCTTACTCTCTGCTCATAATTTTACGAATCGGAAAAAGCAGTTGGCTTCCCTTGTTAATCACAAACAGGAGCATCAGCATAAGACATATGCGCAACGGTGGTATCCTAACATGTCTTTGGAAACTAGATCCCATCTCAAATCCTCTGTACGTCCAACTTCGCTTCGCCGCAAAGATCATCGGCGGACAGTTTGTGTGCCGATACGGCTACTCTGTTAGGGTTCTTGAAATCAACTGCGACAACACATTGACAGTCACATACACGGTATTCATACTATAGCCTCCGGAGTTCTAGCCTCATTAACTATCCAGGCCAGGTGGGTGTCCTTTTCCACGTTTGTATTACACTGCCCTAAAGATGCTTAGCCTTTACAAACAGAACCAGATATGTTGTCTGGGCTAAAGTTTTGTATATACATCATAATTTTCAGCCATACTGCACACATGTAGGACAGCATAATGTCACATTCGCTCCACCCATTTCTGTATGCTGATATTTACTCCCCATGGTGTTTTGTGGTTTCCTCAGTCTTCGCTTATATATATATATATATATATATATATATATATATATATATATATATATATATATATATATATATAATGATAATTGGTATATGCGTTGCGCTGTAATAGCCCTTATTATTTATCTGTTTCATATGGTCCATTGAATTCGGAGTTGTCGCATTTCCTAATCTTACCATTCATGATAAATCCATACTGTGGTCGGTGCACATTTCAACATCTAGAATAGGTTTCCCCCTGCGTATGTGGTTTGTAGTAAGTCTTCCTTCTCTTTATTTCAGGTTCTCTGACCGTTAGATATCCCTCACTGAAGTAGCCTAGCCAGTGTGTCCAGTATATGGTTGTACCTCGTTTTTAGACTGTGCACTGCTGTGCAGCTTTGAAGGGTGTTTGTCAGCTTTTCTGCCTTCTAGCAACGAGCCCTACATTTGAATAAACCTATACTTCTTCCACCACATGAGCCACGCACATTTGTTTTTAGACAGGTAGCCCTGAGTTGGGCTAGCTGGATTGGAGGTAGCCTATGGGTCAAGACACCAGTTTTTACAAGCTTGGAAGTCCTAACCAGACCAAGTTCCATTATATAGTGAGGCTTAGGAATATCAAATGCTTCTAAGGTATCGAGCCCTTGTATGGTATCTAGCGTCATTCACTCCCTTTATCAGGTTTTGTGCTAAGTCCATTGTTATTCATAGTTATATCGTTTGTGGTGTATTTTATTGGTGGATATTTAAAGACGTAAGGGGGCCCTAGTGTTTTGATACTGGTCCCATCGATCAAGTACACAGCTTTGTCAACGTGCGATTTATTGATCTTTCCCAGCCTAGCTGCAGTTATGGAGAATGGTATTGACACATGCGCACAAAGTCACATTTGGCTAAGTTGATAGTTCATTTTTCTAGCTTGTTTTGTAATCCCAAAGGGGATCCCGCGATTATTATTAGATCACCTGCACGCTGAAAATTCCATACCTGTACCACAAATACCGTTTGGAATAAAGCTGTTAAATATTATTATATTATATGTTTGGAAGTTTACCGACCCATTGCCTGTTTGCACTCCTGCTTTTTGTCTAGGAGGCTGACTACCTTATCCATGTTCATTATGCACAGAAGTGTGGAAAGGCAGTCACCTTGTCTCTCATACCTGCTAACCAAGTATTGATTACGTAAAATATAAACTCTGGAGTTTTTGTAGAAGTATCTAGAGTTTTAGAAGAAGTATCTCACAAATGGTCCTGGTGCATCATGTTTCCGTTATTCTAATGACTGCGCTGCAGGATACAGAGTCAAAAACTTTGGATATCACTACCGAGCGTATCATTATATTAAGCTGTTTTAAAAAAAATATCTTTAAGCGTAGTATTTAGGATTGAACTGGTGTCGAGGCAGCTATCTGTTTTAAGAAAGGTTACCTGAGAGCTGAGAGTTGGTACCTACATACTCCATCTATTCGCTAATACACCATCTCGTATACTCACTACACTAATACATGTTATTATTTTTTAGGTTTATCGTCAAAAGAAGTGGACTCGTATACGAACTGATCAATTGGTTGCTGGAGATATTATATCTATTTCAGAGAGTGATCAGAAGTATTGCATTCCTGCTGATGTGCTTCTCTTAAGAGGTACATGCATTGTAGATGAATCTATGCTTACTGGGGAATCAGTACCTGTCAGCAAAGTGAGTTCATAACCCATTCTAATAAAAAATTCTACTTGAATTACTCAGATGTATTATTCTGTCTGTTTATTATTCTTATCTTGAAAATTCTGGATATATTCACTAATTTTCTCTTGGTTATTATTCTGTCTCTTGTCATACTCATATTTTCAGGAGTTGGTTTGTAAGGATTAGATTTATTTTTACGAGTTTGACCACGGATTGATATCATTTAGAGAACCAGTGAGAACCAGAAACGAGTACTGGGCAGCGTTTTGTCCTACTTTGGGAATCATCGGCAGTATTTACCCACCACAAGTATTCGAACTCAGGACCTTCCAGTTACAAGGCAAACTTGTATACCAATCAGCCACCAAAACCTGATTCAACGGCCAGTCCATGAATTCTAACTTCTACCAATTGGTGATTTAGCGCGACCACCAACCAATGTCATCGGTGAGACATCCATCCTCACTTGACTGGATGGACACCTGACTGGTCACGACTTCTTACTAGAACTCCAGGAAATTCCATCCTGTAACAAGTCACAGCTGTCCAGTACTCCTTGGTTTTCAGTGGTTCTCTAACTGATATATCAGTCCGTGGTCAAACTCGTAAATACTCATCTTTGTTTGTTGTGATGTTATTCTGTTTCTATCTGCTTCTATCCAAACATGTATTTCGATAATCGATAACTTAAGCTGTTACACTTCTGTCTCCAACAATGTTGTAGGCTTTCGGGTGTAATTATAAAGATATACTAGGTGTAACGGCCAACTAAAAAAGAAGTACCTTACCCTAAGGTTGAAATAACAAGTGATAGCCAAAAGTGAGTAATGATCAAGAAGACGGATACTGTAGTCATTGACTCACAATTCTATCATATTTAAGGGAATGAAACTGTAGTCAATGTCGGATAAAATATATACAGCATGAGTAAATATGTGGAAGTATCAACTGAAACCTTCAACCGTGTTACTTCTGGTCTTGGATCAATGGCATGCTTTTCCTTATATGAATAAAACGGTTGTTCAAAAAATCTTATCACTTAGAGGTATCTTTCTTTTGATTTTACTGACATTGGGTTTTCTTTATCCTAATATCTGCTTCAACGAACATTAGACACCACTGTAGACGGTGGTTAGATAAACTTAACATTTCGTCACAACAACATTCAGCGAAGGTCCGTGATTTCTTCAGTTAGCTTGTCTCCTTTACCTAATTATTATTCTTATCCAATCTCAAACTTGCTACAGTGTATGCTAACCAAGAAACAGGCACATAAAGTAACAAAACAACATATATGCTACCGCATTCACTTTCTGCGGTTGAGATACTGTCCAATTACCATGAAGTGAACTAAATTTTCAACGTAGAACTTTGTACAAAGTGCAGCACATCAAGTTGTCACACTGCATATCTCACCCAAAAATGGGAAAAGTATTCAGAAGTAGTAAATGGAAGTGTACAGGACGAAGGATAACTACATGAATAATGAGGGAGAGAGAGATCATAGAGATTGAATGCATCTGCACCATTCAAATCGATTTTAAACCATGTCACCAAAGATTACAAGGTACTTGTTCTTAGTCAGGCAACTTACCCCCTCCCCTCTCCTGTATTGACTGAAGCCAACAATCGAAGACTTAGTAGACTGATGCCATGTTTTGATTTGACCACCTGTAAGTCTTTTCCAACCTGGTTCTTTTTCAAATAATATTGCTTGACGAGTAATGCAGTGGCTTGGCATGCTTAACACGTGCCCTAGCCATCTCAATCGATGTAGTTTTACGTCATTGATTGACTTTCTTTATCTAACACGCCACACTTAAATTCAGTATTACTCACCATACTCTGCCACTTAACATAGGATGTGGAATGCAAACAATTGTAGTCGAAGACAGCTAGTCTCTTCAAGTCTTCCACTTTCAATAGCCGGACTACTCAAACCTAGTCAGATGGTTGTATTAAACGGCCAGCACCGGGCCATTGAATTTAAGTCTGATTTTAAATGTCTGACCAATAGTTATTATCTTAAGCAGGTGGTGCAGCTTGCATATAGTGGATGACCCGACGATATATACTGACTGAAATGAATGTTCCTGCAGGTTGGACTAAATTAGATGGGATGGTTGGATAGCGCTCAGATCGTCATAGTATAGGTCGCATGTACTATGGTTGGTGTCGAGAGCAGTCGTAATGATGGCGGGTGGAATAATTTGTAGCAACAACAAGTACTAATTCATATGTACTAACGGGTCTTTGGGTCATTTTTCCGTTCCGTTTGTAATCGAAATAAGCGTAGCATATGCACTATTTTTCCATTTCTGTTTAAAAAACTACTGTTCAATTTATTTTGTTGATATATGTATTTCACGATTTTATAATTTTCTTTTGGTTATTTTTAATTTTTTATTGACTCTAGGATCCTTGTGAGACTCTGAAAGCCGATGAGCATTTCACATTTGACGAAGGTCATAAGAATCAGATATTATTTGGTGGAACTAAGGTGGTACAGTTCACTCCTCCGTCGAAGTCCACAAATCATTTAAAAGGTTTGGATTATTATTATTAATACTATTATTATAACATAAATTTATCACATTATCGGCATTAACAGGTGGTCGCGCTAAACCATGAATTGGTAGAAGTTAGAATTCATACACTGGCCATTGAATCGGGTCCCAGTGGCTGAATGGTATACGAGCTTGCCTTGTAACCAGAAGGTCCTGGGTTCGAACCCTGGGGGTGTGTGCGTACTGCCGATGATTTTCAAACTACGATGAAATGATCGTCCAGTACTCCCTTGTTTTCAATGGTCCTCTAAGTGATATCAATCTGTGGTTAAACTTGTATGAATTAACAGATGCATCAAAAAAAATCTCAGAGTTTATACGAAGATGAAATTTAATGCCCAGACTCACATTCTAAAGCAGATGATTGTCTTAATTGTATACCCAAGTCTTCGGCTTAAAGTCTTACCCACAAGGCAGCTGATCAGAGTAAGGAGCTAATTGTCCATTGTTTCTGGTAACTGAAACAGGTTCGTACACCATTCTATCTATCCCTTCCAATCCTGGGACTCATGTACACCTTAGGTTTGGAATCACTGTTTCCCAGCTCCCCTAGGCAGACCAAATTGTCCAGCAGTCCGATTGTAAGCACCGGAATTTTGTATTTGCTGTTTCACTTTTGTAAGGGACATCGCCACCACCACGTGAAGGCAGTGATGAGGACTTACGCGGCAGACACAGTAATTGTAATTTTTTTTAAATATGATAGACATTCAGTCAAGCTTAGACAGAAGTGACTCACATGTTCATGTCGAGGTAACCGGTCTGTAGACATCTGTTGTATATCAGGAAATCTGACGTCGTTAGTAACAGAATTTACTTTCGTTCTAGCAGATTTAACTGATTAATATGTAAACCCGACCGAAAGCTGCTACCTTGACGTGGTGGTCGGGCTTGAACACCGCAATGACCTAATCAAGCTATACTGGCTGAGACTTATGTCTCTTGAGGTTCTACCATGCCAGGCAGGTTGTTTGGATAGCGGTTAAACAAAAAGCAGCTACCCAATCCAACATCATGTCCAATACAAAATTACAAAATTTCATGCCGGATCGGCCGTGGCCCGGATTAACAACGACCGCGCTTCCTGCTGCCGTGTCACAGGGCGGGAGTGATAAATCTGCTACTGAGACACACAAAACAAAAAGAACAAACAAAAGCAGGCCGCGTGTGACCGGCCTCAAGCAGTTGTCCCCTGGGCTCTGCGGTCACGCAACCAACTTCCACGGTGTGGGCAGCCGGGAAGTAACAATCGCCCTCACAATCCGAAATGCACACGAAACCTCTCTATTACTCACTCATCTTTGTCTTCATCTTCATCTCTATCATCTTGCCTTCCTTCCACTGATGCAACTCCTCGACTTGATAGCTCTCCACTTCCTCTCCACTCTGCGTCCACTAAAAACGATGGAAGCCAAAAAACCACCACCGACAGCCTCTTAAAGCCGCGCCACCAATTTCATATAGGAGCTCTTAATGTTAGGACACTTTGCCAAATAGGACAACAAGCATCACTAGCCAAGACCCTGGCATCACGAGCCATTGATGTATGCTGTGTTTCAGAAACACGCATACAAGACCCAAGTGTGGTTATTCACCTAACCCCACCTGGCCAACAGGTTGAATCTGCAAAATTCACCTTGAGGGTGTCAGGAGATGCCACAGCTAGTTCACGAGGATTAGCTGGCGTAGGGATAGCTTTGAGTACTAGGGCAGAAAAGACATTGCTTGACTGGATCCCGGTAGATAGCCGAATGTGTGCTGTCCGCCTGAACGGATCAGTAAGAAGGAGGAAGGACTGCACTACTCGCCGATGCCTTTTCGTAATCTCCGCCTACGCCCCCACTGACTGCAGTTCAGATGAAACGAAGGATGAGTTCTACCAAAAGCTGTCTAGTTTGGTGAGAAAGGCTAAACGCTCAGACATAGTCGTTCTAGCTGGTGACTTTAACGCTCAAGTAGGGAAATTGTGTCAATCTGAGAAGGATGTCGGTGGCACCTATGGAGTTCCGTGCCAGCGAACCGACAACGGTGACCGTCTCCTACAGTTCTGCTCTGATAATCATTTGTTTCTTGTAAGCACTAACTTCAAACACAAGGAGAGACACTGTTTGACTTGGAGACCCCCTTCATCAAACCAACGCTGGACACAAATAGACCACATAGCAATAAGCTATCGTTGGCGTGGGTCGGTAGGAGATTGTCGCTCCTTCTGGAACACGTGCGTAGATACCGACCATGCACTGGTCCGCGCTCGGGTGTGCTTACGACTGAACGGACGTAGGAAACAGCTGGCGGTAAAACCATCACGTCCCCAGCTCGATCAGGAAACTAAATCCGTATTTGAGGAAGAACTAGCTAAACACATATCTGTGTTCGACAGCTGTGCTCACCCTGAAGAAGCTTGGAAAAATATCCAGGCAGCCATAGATACAGCTGTAAAAGCTGTGAATAAGGTAAACCCAAAGGTGAGTAAAAACCACTGGATCTCCACCGCCTCATCCGAACTGATAGATGCTAGAAGACTTATTCCGGCGAGCTCCGAATTCAATGAGGAGCGAAAGCTGCACAAGAGGAAACTTACGAAAAGTCTCCGCAAGGACCGTGAACAGTGGTGGGCGACAAAAGCCAAAGAGATGGAGAAAGCTTCGAGGATAGGCAACACCAGGCAACTCTTTGGACTCATCAGGGAAACGGGTGGGAGAAGACAAATCATTAGTGAGACAATCTCGGAAAAAAATGGCACTATAATTAGCTCACAGGATAGACGACTGGATCGTTGGAAAGAGCATTATGAGGAGCAGTTTAATTTGCCCACAGCCACGCTCAACCTTCCGAGCATCCAACACCTCCCTGAATGGGATATAGATACAGGTCCTCCGTCACTAACTGAGGTTACTAAAGCTGTCACCAATCTGAAACTAGGCAAAGCAGCGGGACCTGATGGAATGACTCCAGAGGTATTTAAGTACGGTGGAGACAGCTTACTGTCCGGATTAACTGAGGTACTAGGCAGCGTTTGGGAATCAGAAGAAGTCCCATCGGGTTGGTGTAAGTCACTGATTATCCCCATATACAAGAAGGGAGACAAGTCTTCCTGTGATAATCACAGAGGGATTAGCTTGACTAATATAGTATCTAAAGTCTTAGGCTCAATAATCATGCGTAGACTGAGTGGTGCTCGGGAAGCACAAACACGAGAGAGCCAGGCAGGCTTTAGACCAGGAAGAGGGTGTATTGATCATATCTTCACCCTCCGACAGATTCTAGAACATAGGCATTCCTACCGGCGTCCAACAGTCATTATATTTCTTGACCTAAAGGCAGCATTCGACTCTGTCGATCGGGAAGTTCTCTGGAGATGCTTGGCTGTAAAGGGAATTCCGAGAAAATATATTGCACTGATTAAGGCACTCTATTCGTACTCATACAGCCAGGTGAGGGCTTACGGCGAGCTGTCATCTGAACTGATGACGACCAGTGGTGTCCGTCAAGGATGCCCATTATCTCCTTTTCTATTCAACTTCATCATAGATGTGTTAATGGACTTAACCCTAGGTGACTTCAGCGATTCAGGGATTGACTTGCTACCTGGGAATAATCTCGTTGACTTGGAATATGCAGACGATATAGTCCTTCTAGGCGAAGACGCTGACGAAATGCAGAGTCTTCTAAACACCTTGAACAGCAATCTACGAATGTTTGGCATGCGATTCGCTCCCGCCAAATGCAAGATGATGTTACAGGACTGGACTACATCGACGCCTAGTTTAAAAATAGGAAGTGAAGTGGTAGAGCACGTTGACCGCTTCACTTATTTGGGAAGTACCATCAGCCCCAACGGGCTGATCTCTGACGAAATCTCAGCACGAATACAAGGGGCTCGTTTCGCATTTGTTAGTTTACGCCGACTCTGGCGTAGACGAGATGTTCGACTATCGACCAAAGGGCGGGTGTACTGCTCATCAGTCCGCTCCGTCCTCCTTTATGGTTGTGAGACCTGGCCACTGAGAGTGGAAGACATGAAAAGACTAGCTGTCTTTGATCATAGGTGCCTGCGTTCTATTTCCCGTGTAAAGTGGCATAATAAGGTGAGCAACATGGAGGTTAGGCGTAGAGTTCTAGGTAAACAGGGGAAATCAATCGACGAAGTCGTGAAGCTACATAGACTGAGATGGTTAGGACATGTGTTACGTATGCCAAGCCATCGCCTCCCTCGACGAGCAATGTTAGCGGATATAGGGTCAGGCTGGAAAAAAGCTAGCGGCGGTCAAACAAAAACTTGGCATCAGTCAATGAAATCCACAACAGTTGGTCTAAGCCACGTAGGAAGGTGTAGACTTCCAGGCTGGGGTCCTCGGGACGGTAAAAATCTATGGTTGGAAACAATTGGTGACATGGCTCAAAATCGTTCTCAGTGGCGCAGATGCATCCACTCCCTGTGACTTATGATCTCCAATGAAACTGTTTTGTATTTCTTTATTACTCCTTTGTCTCACACCTCTGCTCACTGTTTCTATTTGCTTTTCTTGTACTTTCTTCTCTTGCTTCGCGTGCTACACGGAATGTGGCGACTTGAACTTCCGCACATTTGTGCAAAGTTCTATGTCGAAAACAGACAGACAGACAGATTAATATGTAAAAGTTATTTTACCTTTATCAAATCTTTGCGTATGAATTGCACAGCTCTAAATAGTATTTTTAGTTAGACTGGAATTTTCAGCATGTGATGATGATATAGCAAGAGAATTGGCTTTTTCAAAAAATCTTGAAAAGAAATAACAATAGCAACACTTCACGATGCTAATAATAATAATAATAATATTAATAGTAGTAGTAGTGTAGGTGAAAATATATGAATGATAGCAAGCATAAAATGTCTGTTTATCTATCATTAGTAAGTTAATGAGTTAATTATTTTCTAAAAATTATCGCTCCACAAAGAAGTTAATTGCTAAATAAGGTATAATTGAGTTCTTTTTATACCTAGATATATTAATATGAGTCAAGTGGTTGAGTATGTCGACCAATTCACTTATTTAGGAAGTTGCATCAACCAGCCAACGCCAGCGGATTGATCGCTGACAAAATCTTAGCACGGATACAGAAGGCTTGTTTGGCATTTCCTAGCCATCTTATGTCATCCCTGGTGTAGACATGATATCCGATTAACTGTCTTTGACGATGTGTGTTTGCTCTCTAGCTCGCGTGTTAGGTACTATGATATGTTGAATAATACTAAAGTTAAGCGTAGAGTGTTAGGTAAGTAGAGGAAGTCAGTCGATGCAGTGGTGGTGCTATCAGTCGATTGAAATGGCTAGGGCATGTACCACGCATGTCTAGCCATTGTCTCCCTCGACGAACAATGTTGACCGACATTAGATTAAGTTAGGAGAGAGTTAAGGTTGGTCAAACCAAATGCTGACATCAGTCCATGAAATCTTTGACTGTTGGTTTGAGCTACTTGGGGAGATGCAGACTACCTGACTGGAGTCCCTGAGACTCTAAGGACCCATAACTTGAGACTGTTGTCGACATGGCCGAAAATCGTTCCCAGTGGCACAGATTGCTTCACTCTGTGTGAGATTCCACAGATCCACCAAACCGTCATGTGTTTTCCGTGATCATTTTGTATTCTCCTCCCCCTCTCATATTTTTTTAAGTTCAGTCCTCCTGAATGTGTTTTTCTCTTTTTTCTACGTTTGTGTGGTACATGTAGTGTGGCAATTTGAAGTGCTGCACTTCTGTGCTTGGTTCTATGTTGAAACTCACTGTTAGTCAGTCATGAGCATAAAGTCTCATGAAATAGCTTCTTGTCTTTCCTGAGGTGATAGAAGGAAAACAAGTGGAAGTAAGGGGGTGCTTATCATTCAGTAGAGTAACTTTGATCAACTATCCACATGATGTTGACTCTTTGACAAGAACAGTGTGAGTTAGTCAAGTCAGTGGCATACAAAAGTAGACAGAAGATCTTGCGTTTGAGCCACTGAGGGTTCGTTCTGACGAAGAGTCTCGAAGAAGAGGGAAGAAACAGCCGTTCAGCACTGTTTGGTTTTCCAGTAGTTCCGTAGCTGACAGCAGCTCGTGATCAAGCGTGTAACCAATCAAATTCCTGCAAACCAACACTTGAAAAAGTAGTGTTACAACAAAATACATTCAGTAATCTGATTTCATAGTTGATTGACTAATTAGTGAATGTAGAAATTTGCGCAGACACTGATTAGTCTAAATTGCCGCATTGAAAAAGACCACAAAATAGTAAGAAATTGAAGTGACGGTAGTACAATGAGTAGTGAAGATGACCAGAATTTCGAAAATTCAAGAATGGATACGTCTTCCTCAAAAGTCCAGATGTTGGTTCTGAGAGCGCCTCTAGAATCCCATCCAGACAACTTACATCTCGCACCATTAATCATTAACTTCATGTTTTAGTGTCAGGTTCTTTTTGGTATGACAACGCCTGGATCTTTTTCAGCCTCATTTTAATGCATTTAAAATAGTTTTGTAATAGAATGAGGTTGTTCGACATGGATATTCTGTGTTTAACCTCACTCAACACTAATTATCATGTTGTTTCACCTAATTTGGCTAACGGAATGAAAACATTTATGGTTACAATATGACATTTAGAATCCAAACCCATTTACTGCTATCATGCGTCATAATTCTGTCATAGGCAGGACAAAGGTATCGTGTTAAGTTGCACTTCTCTAATCACGTTATTTTGAATGTATTTCTTCGCCTTCCGTTTTTTTTAGTGGTAGTAAAACAAATCGTGTTGTCTATATATCCGAATTTTAAATAAAGCGTTAATCTTTCTGAATGTATTGACGTATTCCTATTTGATAGGGAGTACTGTTCATTCCTTGTTTAACAAGTTAGGCTTATTCATCAAATCCCATACAAATATTCATTCAGAAGTAATATTTCAAGGTTTTATACTCTCATTTTTTTGAATTTATTTTTAAAGTGTACAATTTAAATTTTCAAGTCACTTATGAATGATCCTTTCTTCAACCTTTCCTCTTTTTTCTTTCTTTTTGTTTTTAGCCCTGACAATGGTTGTATTTGTTTTGTACTTCGTACGGGTTTGAGTACTTCACAGGGTCGTTTACTAAAAACAATCATGTATAGTGTGAAAGCGGTTACAGCCAATAATATGGAGAGTTTCTTATTCATTGGATTTCTACTTATTTTCGCTTTGATCGCTTCAGTCTACGTTTGGGTAGAAGGTAAGATGATACATATTTAGTCAGTGTATGTGGTGTAGTGATTGTTTTTAATTAAGGAATCTTCAGTACAAATAAACGTTACGAAAGTAATGTATAGGAATAATATTGACTAATATTATTGATATTATTAAAACATAGATTCGGTACCTTATGCGGCTTACGAAATTCGCCTCGCAAAAGCTCATAGTTTGTGTGATGGCTGAGATACTATCCGGACGCCCAGACAGAAGCAGGCAGTTGTCCTAATGGGATACCCCAAGTCTTCAGTTTGAAGTCTAATTCACAAGGCATAAGGGAGGTGTCAGGTGCTGCGTTCCCATTGTTTCAGGTGACCGAAACAGCTTCAAAAACACCATCCTGATCCCTTCGGGTTCTGGAGCTTGTGTATATCATAGGTTTGGAACCAGACTTTTTCAGCTTACCTAGATGGACCTGTTTCTCCATCAGTCAGTCCCAGTGTAAGTGCCAGATGCTCAAATTTGTCCTTTCACTTTTGTGAGGAACACCATCACCGTAGTGTGAAGGCGTTGAATAGGGCTTATGTGGAAGAGGCTGTGAATGGGTGGCCACATGAGACTGAAGTCTACCCACTCTTGGCCGTCAGCCATAAAAGCTTTGTTATATGTCGGGTGATAAAACATGCATATTTCATGAGGGCGGATGATGCTTTGCTAGGTGAAGTGGGTAGAGTGGTTCCTTCAGTATACCTAGTTCAACATTGAAAATCCACGTCAGCAGTCATTTTTACTACAAGTATCACCTAGACCACACTTCTGTTTTTACATATTCTATAGTTTTCTTGATTTATTTTTTGTTTTTATAAAAGCAAGTATTTATTGCTCTAGTTTTTGCCTTTATTTTTCTGTCTTCTAAACTTTAGGTACAGCTGATCCTCGTCGTAACCGATATAAACTCTTCTTAGAATGTACACTTATTTTAACATCTGTCATTCCTCAAGAACTTCCAATGGAATTATCTTTAGCTGTGAATTCCTCTTTGATTGCGCTGTGCAAACTTAGTAAGTTTTGGTTTTTTTTTACAATAAATACACAACGCCCCTATGACTTCTTATAAAAGTCGTATTTATACACAAATATCTAGTAATATTATCCAGATAAATTATCCTAAGAAATAAAAGTCGGCTGGAGTTATTACCCCTCCTTCTCCGCTGCCGCTCCCTCCCTGACTCATCTTAGTCTAGAGTACACCACCTTTATAACCATTATTGACTTGTGAGGTAACTGAAAGCTTGTTAAGAAATGATGCAATTTTTTGGCGTTTGGATCTCGGCCACAGTTTAATTGTAATCTATGTGTAATTATTAGGTAGACTGTTGCGCATGGCTTTGTGTGTGAAGATATAATGATGACTCATTAATCTGATTAATTGATTGACTAAGTCTCAGCATATAACTCTGCACAGAAATGCAGCAGTTCAAGTTGTCATACTCCGTGTAGCACACACGGGTAGATAAAAGAGAGAAAAGCTTACTATTATTATTATTCCTTTGGGTTCCGAGTGGAACATAGCAAACGCTTCAACAACATATCTCCACTTTGTTCTAATTTTTGCTGGGTCGACGATTGCCCACAATCTCATCTCCTCATATGATCTCCCCTCGGACTACCTGCTCGAACAATGACCTGCATTTCGCTCTATGTCATTTGACGGCTTCGTCAATGTATACCCAATCCATCTCTATTTTCTCCTACATATTTGTTGAGCAATCGGCTGTTGGTTGGTTTGTTGCCAGCCAGAGTTTCGTGTTACTAATTCTTTCTGGCCAGCTGACTGGACATTTGGTCTTCAGTATGGAGCCAACTGGTGAAGGCGGCTGTTGATGAAAGTCTACAACCTGTTGGAAATCCTTTCCGTGACACGCAGTCCAAGTTTCCGACCCATGTAGAAGAACTGAGTGACTTCACATTTGTGTTGAAAATCCGAATCTTATTCCTTATGCTGAGTGCAGATTTCCAAACTGGTTTCAGGTTGGTGAAGGTGAATCTTGCCTTTCCGATTCTGGCTGGCTGGTTTTGATATCTTCATCCGTTCCGCTGGCATTTGGTTGAAACGATGCTTCCTAGCCAGATAAGTGAAGAAAGTAACCTCTGCCAAATTTTTTCTGTCGATGGTAATTGGTTGTTGCTCATTGTTGCTTTTGGTTGGTTATCTTCATTACCTTCGTCTTCTCTGTGTTCACTTGGAGTCCTGTCTTCGCTGCCTGTCTCTTTAACCAGTCTGTTGCCTTTTGCCTGCAAGGCTTCGAATATGCGTGACACTAAACATAAATCTTCTGCGAAATCTATATCTTCAAGGAACTTCATATCGGTGGTTCAGCGTTTTCCTGTCTTCTCACCCCCTGTGCACAGTTTGACGCATAATCTAGTCCGTCACAATGAAGAATATCATTGTTGGTAATAGACAGCCTTTTCTTACTCCTGAATTCACTTCGAACTCCTCTTTCAGTTTTCCGTTGTGGATCACCTAACACCTGGTAGCCACTCTCATGTAGGCATGAATCAGGTTGATGATGATTTGAGCACTGCACACCATAGTTTTGAAGCAGTTTCCAAAATTAAGGTTAGATTAATATAATGATGTCTTTTGTTATAACTAGAAATGTGAGCGAGAAGGATAGGAACATGGAAGAACGTGACAATTAAGTGGATATAAAAGAATCACATACAGTGAATGCATCTGCATCACTCCCGATCGAAAGCTGCTACCTTGATGTGGTGATCGGGCTTGAATACCGCAATGACCTAATCAAGCTATAATGGCTGAGACTTATGTCTCTTGAAGTCCTACTATGCCAGAAAGGTTGTTTGGATAGCGGTTAGACAAAAAGCAGCTACCCAATCCAATACTATGATTCATACGAAATGCGTCGGTGGCACAGTAGTTAGGACTCTTGCCGACCATGTACATGGTCCGACGTTCGATCCCCTGCCGACGCACACCTGATATCTATGGTCGGCCTGCTAAATTTGGGCTACCGATATCCATGCTGAAAATTTCATACTTGTGCCAAAAATACGGTGTGGAATCAAGCTGTAATAAAAAAATATCGTGTCGGATCGGTTGGGGCCCGGATTAACAACGACCGCGCTTCCTGCTGCCGTGTCACAGGGCAGAAGTGATAAATATGCTACTGAGACACACCAAACAAAAAAGAACAAACAAAAGCAGGCCGCGTGTGACCGGCCTCAAGCAGTTGTCCCCTGGGCTCTGCGGTCACGCAACCAACTTCCATGGTGTGGGCAGCCGGAAAGTAACAATCGCCCTCACAATCCGAAATGCACACGAAACCTCTGCATCACTAACAAAAAATCCTATCCAGATCACCAGTAGTCTCCAAGTATTGGTTCTTAGCATTCTGAGGAACCTAACTGGGTAGCCCATCTCTGTCTGCCCCAAACCAACTGTCAAATACTTCATGGAGTGATGCCAGCTTTTGGTTAGACCACCCTTAACGCCTTCTCCAACCCAATTCAATGTCGGCTAACACTGTTTGTCGATGAAGCCAATGGCTCGGCATACGTAACAAACTATGTGACTTCAAATCATGTCGGTAGGGCAATAACTTCAAAATTTCAGGAAATGGTTGACTAGTACATAAAACCAACTGAGATGTTATATATCTTTTGATAAAAGTGTCACTTCTATGCAAAAGGTCTTATCAAGATAATAATAATAATAAAGTAATTATGTTGTAGTAAACGGTCAGGAGTGTTACAAGTGACTCACCACGATACTGAGTTTACTGATGTGAGTAAGCGCATTTCTGTTTCTCTTTGCTTTTCTAATACGTGAACTGAATGTTGTTCAGACATGACAAACCATCACGTTTGTCGTCGAGACATAGGACTAGTTTGGAAAAGACTTATGGGCTATCAAACCGAAAATCCATTAAATGTTTAGCTGTTGGCTTTAAACACTGCCTAAATAGGGTCCTCGAGATACTAAGACCCAATAGCTTGAAACTGTTGGTCTGATATGGCACAAAATTATTCTCAATGACTCAGATGTATTCACACTCACAGAGTTATTAAATTTTCATTATTCTCCATGTAATTGTTTTGTAACTCCTGTACATTTCCACTCACTGCAATTCCTTCGAATATTTCTTGGAACCTTTGTGTGCTATTATTGTGGAGCGTGGCAACTTGAGCTGGTCACACTTTTCTGCAGAGTTCTATGTTAAATACCCAGTCAGTGAGTCAATCAGTCGAATGAATGTTGTCACAATCGAATTTATCATCGGTGGTTGTTCATTTGAATTGGACCAAGTTTGCGGAAGTAAAATAAATTTGTGATCTCCTCCGTATTATGTATTATAATTTCTTTTGTTGGTTTCTTTTCTCTCCAATTCTAATCATATTTCTTAGTGGTCTATTGCACTGAACCATTTCGAATTCCATTTGCGGGTAAAATTGATATTTGTGCGTTTGATAAAACTGGTACTCTAACTGAAGATACTGTTGTCGTTGAAGGTGTAACAGGTTTGAAGTAAGTCATTCACTTTTTAAATTTGTATTGGATAGTTTTGATTACTGCGTTTTTTGAAACCTTATTCCTACTCTACCCATTGAGATTTGTTTCCTTCTAATGCCCTACAAGAATTAATCTTTTAGAGAAACAGTACTCATCATCTAGGTAGGGTTTTTAGTGTTTAGCTTTTTTGTTTTGAATTACCCCAATAAACAACCTGGTGCTGCGGAGGATGGGTAGACTTTGGTCCCCCTCTTGAAACGCTCTCTTGTAGCCACACGTCCATAGCCTCTGCCACGTAAATCCTATCTACTGCCTTCACGCTGCGGCGGGGCTGTTCCTCAAAAAAGTGAAAAGGCGAGTCTGGACAACTGGCGCTTACAACTGGAATGGTGACAAAATAGTTTCACTAAGGGGAGCTAGGAAACTTTAATTCCAAACCAGAATCCGAATGGTGTATGAATCTGTTTTGGTCACCGTCAATTATGGGAAGGTAGCTCAAGACTCTGCTCCACCTTCTTGCAGATCAGACTTCAAGTCAAAGTTACGCACTTGCTTCGATCTGGGCATCCTAGTCATCACACAAATTATGAGACAACTGTTTATCCTTTTTTTAAAATTATTTTTATGTGGCACTACCCATTATGTACCAAGTTTTTTTGAACAGGATTTTTAATAATGATAGTAAACATAAACTCTTTTGTGAATTATTTTATTCATGAAATAATTTTAAAAGTAGCGATTTCACATAGTGCCGTGTTCGATTAGTTGGAGCTCAGCTATACTGGACAGGTTTTTCACTTACTTAACTATGAGAGCTTCACTTATTGTATGAGTGGGTTAATAATACTGCTGAGTTGCTCATTGTAAAATTGACGAGGCGACTACCGAATCCGCAACCTGATGCTGGGGGGTCGAGTGCTTAGTATGTCTTATTTTGTGATAATATAGGTGTCATACATCCAGATCGCTAAGATCCTGGACTTTTCAGACTAGGCCTAATACGCAGAAGGCTATGCACTGTAACTGACGCAGAAAAACAGAAAACGGTTGGGCAACACGATTGTTTATTCTTCAAGCGATAATGAAACAGATTTACAATGGTTAGTCAGTGCCAAAGTCTGTATATAAACGTTAATGTAATGTACAACAATATTTCTGATCGTATTTCTCCAATATTCTGCCAGTCAGTACCCGACTAAATAATGACAGCCTTCTTGTCTCCCGCCAATATGGAGACCAGTTCGCACAAACAAACGATTCAGTGTTCTCCAGTATCGACATTAGGAGTATTCAAAAGTAATTAGCAGTAAAAAATCAATTCCATGGAAATATGCCCTATTTCGGTGCATAAGTACTATTCAATAACAAAGCAACTCAACTACTAACACAACAACTACGTGCAACTTTATTTATTCAAACATAATGTGCACTTGTTGGTCTCATTTACCTTTCAGTGTCATTGAATAAAAAACTAACATTTGCCATCTATTTTATACTTATTAGTCCCACTGTTGATCGAGTTCAACCAGTGTCGGCAGTCCTAAGTTTGCCAATCACACATGTGGTTCTGGTTCGACTCCTCACTGACTCACTGCTAAACATGGCGTAGCTTGGTTAAAAGGGAAGGTTGGGCGTAAGGTTATGGTATCATATCATTGGTGGTAGCGGTTAAATTAGATTGTTATTAAAGTTAAGAAATTTTTTCATAACATGAAGTGATTTATTCATAGATATTTGTCCGAATATAGTCTGGAACTCAATGTTTAATAGTGTAAAACTCAACGCATATATAATATTATGCAAATGTTAACCATTTTCGGCTCTACAACAGTGTAGCTAACTGTGTTCTATTCAGGTATTTAGACTTTTCATAATGATGTAAATCGTCTATTACTCGGAAGAGACAGCGAAGATAGGACTTTGAGTGAATATAGAGAAGACAGAGGTGATGAAGATACCCAACTACTTACAAAAACAACCACCAGTCATTATCAACGGGTGAAATTTCAAGGAGATCGCTTCTTACAGTTATTTAGGCAGCATAGTATCACCTACAGACGGTGGGGGGGGGTACAGGTGAGAATGCCAAAGGCGGGATGGGAAAATCAATACAAACCTTCATTAATCTGACATCAGTGTGGAAATCTGCTGCATGCAGAATAAGGAATAAGATTTGGATATTCAACACTGGTGTCAAGTCACTCAATGCTTCTATATAATCCAGAGACTTTGCTAACAAGTTGCTAAAATCATCTTCAACAGGCTACTGCCAACTTTCATGAACAGCTACGTTCACTCAGTACATAAGATTAAATGTTCAGAAAGGATTGACAACAAGAAACTTTGTCAACGAACCAACCAAGTACTTATTGTTCAACAAATATGTCAAAAATAGAGGTGGATTGCACATACGCTGTGAGGAGACCGTTGAGTGGCACTACACGCCTGGTCATCTAACGGAATCCGATTGGGAAACAACAAGTTGATCATGAGTCCTTAGGTGACATGCAGATGATCGTTTCACCAGGGGGTGAGATCTCATTGGCAATCTTGTTGCAGAGAAGAAAGTGAAGTGGAGATGTGGAAGGAGCACAGATGTGTTCCATTCGGAACTTAAGGCAGTAATCATAGTAATGCTCATCATCTACCACTGGTCATTTTGCATTATTATGTATGAATAGTTGTCATCTGTGAATGCAAGAATAAGATTGCCTGTTTGTTTCATAATAAAATAAAGTTAATTTCCTTTTTTCTGTTCATTTTAAAATAGTGATCAACCGTCGAATGCATTATTACCAGTGAGAGATTGTCCACTATCTACTATTCAAGTATTGGCTAGTTGTCATTCACTAATCAATACTACGGGTTCTGGATTAATTGGTGATCCCATGGAGAAAGCAATGTTAGCTTCAACTGGTTGGTCGTTAAATGATCAAAATGAAGTGCATGGACGTACGATACCACGTACTTCTCCATTGAAAATATGCCAAAGGTATATAGACCCAATGTTCAGTCAATTATTTTTATTATTATTATACTGTTGTCATTTATGTTTTTCTGTATTGTTTTGATTCACTTGTGATTAAAAGAAGATTGGAAGATTGACTGTGACAAATGCTGATACCTTCATTCGGTGGTGGTTCAGTCACAGGGATTACTCACCAACCATTGACGTAGTTTGGGTTTGTTTGATTTGTGTCCGGCACACTTCCAAACACCACTTAACCGGGTAGTAAGGACCGGTTTAGTGGGAGAGGTTGGGTGTGAGATTAGCTAACCACATCTCGTTCAAAAATCAACATCATTGCTGCTGAAGCCTCCAAGCTCAAGCATGAATTCCTATGTTCCTCTTGGAACGTAAAAGAATAAGAGAAAAATAAAATATCTTCATTCATTCATTCATTCACCCTGGGGAACCGTTAAAGGTAGCTGAAAAATTCATTCATCTCTGTAGTTGTATTATGAGTGTCGAGTCAAATGTGGCTGATGCAACTTTCAGTTGTATAGAAGAAGTCAGAACAGCATATGTTAATTTAAGACACACCCCTAGCGCCACTGAGATGTTAATCTAGCTGGAAAAGTTCCAATTTACAACACTTCAGTGTGTGTAGGTTTGGTCCTCATCTTCAGGAAGCCTGATCTATTCAAGCTGAGGATACATGATAACTTCGCGTGCTTCATTATTGTTGTTGTCTCTGTTAGATTGTCTTGATCTTCGTAGACACCATTTTAAATAATGTTGAGATCCACCAGCGAGTGTTTGATGATTAGAATCTGTAAGCTGCTCTTTGTAAATGATACGGTATGGATATATGCTGCTAATGTCATCCTTCTAAGACTTTCATATGCTAACCAACTCCGGAACTAGTTGGAAGGGGCAGATAGACGCGGAACAATTGTGTCAATAAATCAAGACATATCAGCGGCTTCTCTCTTTGTTCCATACTGAAGATCGGATATCCAGCCGAAATGGATAAGTACCGAGAAACTCTGGTAACAGACCAACCAAGAACCTTATTGTTCAACAAATACGACAGAAAAGGAAGATGGACTGGACATATGCTAAGAAGACCACTGTTGAGTGACATTGGGCGCCAGACCTTCGAGTGGGACTTGGATGTGGGAAACGACGAGTTGGGCATGACTCTGAGGGTGACATGGAGGTGATCGTATGGAGAGGAGATTTTGGCTTATGGTCAGTCGTGGAGCCTTTTAGGTGGGATCCCTGAGAACGGGATGAAATAGAGATGTCATTTTCAAGGCGTATGTGTCACCTGAAAATCTAAGGGAATACTAATAATATGAACGACATTTAGTAAACTTTCACCAACAGTGTAACTAGATTTATTATATTATATTATTATTGTTCCCTTGAGTTCTGAGTGCAACGTGGGACTTCAACAACGCATCTCGACTTTGTTCTATTTTCTGTCACCCTCTTCAACTGGGTCTACGATTGCTCAAACTCTCTGATCTTCTCCTCGCACGATCTCCTCCATGTCACCTTAGGACGACCCACTCGTCGCTTCCCAATGCGATTTCCCTCGGGCAAAGGCCTGCATTGCGCGCGTTGTCATTCGACGGCCTCCTCAATGTACACCCGATCCATCTCCATTTTCTCCCACCTATTTGTTGAACGATAGGTTCTCAGTTGGTTGTTCCCAGCCAGAGTTTCTTCCTGGCCAGCCGGTCATTCGATCTGCAGTATTGGAACGAAGGTAGCTGTTGATGAAAGTCTGTAACCTGATGGAAATGCTTACCGTGACATGCAGTGCAAGTTTCTGACCTGTTTAGAAGGACTGACTTAACATTTGTCTTGAAAATGCGAATCTTCTGTATAAGATTTCCATACTGGTTTCGGGTTGTTGTAGGTATATCTTGCGCTTCAGATTCTGGCTGGATGGTTTTGACATCTTCATCTGTGCCGATTGCCTGTGCTTGAAACTATGCTTCCTAACCAGATAAGTGAAGGTAGTACCCTCTGTCAAATCTCTCCTTTTGATGGTAATTGGTGCTGGTTGTTGTTCTTGTTGCTGTTGGTTGGTTATCTCCATCATCTCCATCTTCACCTTCTCTATGTTCACCTGGAGTCGTGTCTTCTCCAGCTGTCTCTTCAGCCAGTATGTTTGATTTCGCCTGCCTACAAGTCCTCGGGTTTGTGTGACATTAGACAGCAATCATCCAAGCACGAAATCCAGGTCTTCTAGAGTTTTCTTATCGAGCCGACGTTTTCCTGTCTTCTTCCCACAACTGGGAATATCATCAGTGATAATAGGCAGACAGTTTATCCTACTCCTGTCTGTATTCACTTCGTACGCCTCCCTGAGTTTTCCGTTATGCATCACTTTTTATGTATCAACATCACATAGCTGTTGGATGAGGTTAATAAAGATATGGAGCCCTGTAGACCGTAGTGTTGAAGCAGTTTCCAAATTACGTCTCGGTCAACCCCTGTTTATTGGAGGGCCTTTTCAATGTCTACGGAGTTGAGGTGGAGGTGTGATTACCATTCTACGCTTTTAAATTGCCTGATGAATGGCAGATTTGAGTCTGGTTAAGGAGCATTATGACCACTAAAAAAATGGCAAATATATCAGCTACCAAGTTTTACATAGAATGAAACATGCAACGTAGACGCCGTTGTTGTGTCCATTGTTAATGAAACAATATCAGAAGTAAAGAATCAGAAAGACATTGAATAGAAATGTAGGAAATAAATGAAGAACTAAAAAGATAATTGATCTTGGAATTAGAATTATTGACAGTATTTACAATGCATTGTGAACGCAATGTCAATCTTGTAATGCTGTTTTTTCTCTTGGTACATATCTGTCTTTATTTGTGTTACTTTATCTCCAGTGACAGTCTATAAATTGATTAGCCATTTTGACTGACACACATTAATTCTTGCTTCACTTGTTGGGTGGATGGTTGTATTTTATTCATGTTTCTCTTTTCACGTGACTGCAATAACCGGAAGGGGCGGGATGAAAATAGACAGAGAATTAGTTAAAAATATTGTTATATTGCAGAAATTTTCAGAATACTAACTGTCCATTTGTGTGTATCACATTTCTCTCCCCCTTCGGCTCTTAGATTTCGTTTCGATAGTGCATTACGCCGAATGTCAGTTGTTGTAAGCCATTATCTACCAGCTTCTGTGGATCAAAATTATTTAGCCTGTGTCAAGGGGTCACCGGAGACAATTCTTCCAATGCTTGTTGACGCTCCACCAGATTATGAAGAGGCTTATCTCACTGCGGCTAGACGTGGTGCTCGTGTTTTGGCTTTAGGACAAAAGACGCTAGGACAGTTGAGTCATGAACAGGTTGGTTTCTTTTATTGTTGATTATAATAAGTTGGTGAATATAAATTGTGCAATTAGTCATAATAGTAGTAATAATAATAATATTTAATAATAAGGATGAAAAATTAAGGCAATTTGTGATAACACGAATAGTGGAAAACATCATGATTAAAGAAACAAGTGTTCAGGTAGACGAGGTAGTCGATAATGGCTAATAAAACAAATGAAGCGATTGAGTAATGCGAGATTGTAAGGGTAGGAAATGAAACACGCTTATAATGAAGATAAGATTAAGGAATGATAAGAAAGAGGTTGAAAATATAAGAATGTAAAGAAACATATGAAAACATCAGAGAGAAAACCTGAGACTTTGACCGAACTTAAAAAGCCTCTATTTATTAAGTTACAATTTAATGGTGACTTTTCAAGTGAGATTTTATTCCAGAGACTTTCCAGGAATATACGAAGAACGTTTTACTCAGCGAACCTGTATTTGTCATTCTCTACCCGACGAATGATTGGGACGCAAACGAAGGATAAGCATGTTAGTTTTGCCACATCTATTTGCATTTATCAATTCAACTGCACCTGCGGTGACAGTTATGTTGAGCGTACTACTAGACACCTTAGCTAACGTCTCCCATCGTGGTTTGGCAAGGGACTGGCGAAAACAATCCGTAGCTCAATTTTGTCACATTTAGTTGATAGTGGTCATGTGGTGGAGAAGACGAGAGCTTTCAAAGTAATTCATCGTATCCCACCGAATCTTTTCAATAGACTTTGTATTCGTCTACTGCACACAGCTGAGGCGATAGGCATTCGAACTATTAAACCTAAACTATGCATTCAAAAGAAGTTCGTACAGCCATTATCCCTCCCTTGGCCTATTAAGATCTAACCAACTGATGACTTCTCGACTATCCCTTACGTATATTTTCAACCTCTCTCTTATCATCCCTTAATGTGATCACATCTTCATTAAAACGTGTTTCACTTACTTCCCTTACAATCTAGTATTACTTAATCGGTTCATTTGTTTTTATTAGCCTTTATCGACTACTTCTACCTGAACACTTGTTTCTTTAATTATGCTGTTTTTCATTATTCGTGTTATCACAAATTGCCTCAATTTTTCATCCTTATTATTGATAAGACCATTATTATTATTATTAAATATTATCATTACTACTATTACGACTGATTATAATAAGTGTTAATTGCCTCGAAGTTAGTGTCGTTTAAATGTAGAGTAGTATTTGAGTGGTATTCAATCCTGCTTTTCACATTGATTTTGAATCTATACAACGAAAAAGCTGAAGTTATGACTCGTGATCTAGTAGGTGGATCAGCCTAACGAACATAGTCTCTAAAATCCTAGGCTCAGTAATCATGCATAGACTAAGCAGAACTCGGGAGGAACAGACAAGGGAAAATCAAGCAGGCTTTAGACCAGGTAGAGGGTGCATAGATCATATCTTCACTCTTCGACAGATTCTAGAACATAGACACACTTTTCGGCGTCCAACAATTGTCATATTTCTTGACTTGAAGGCGGCCTTCGACTCCGTGGATCGAAAGGTACTATGGCAATGTCTGACTGTGAAGGGAGTGCCAAGAAAGTACATTGCACTAATCAAGGCACTCTATTCAAACTCACGTAGTCGTGTAAGGGCTTATGGGGAATTGTCATCTGAATTGGTAACAACCAGTGGTGTCCGACAGGGATGTCCACTTTCCCCATTTCTGTTTAACTTCATCATAGATATGCTAATGGAAGTATCCTTAACTGAACGTAGTGACTTAGGAATCGACTTGTTACCAGGGAATAATCTAATGGACTTAGAATATGCAGATGACATAGTCCTGTTAGGGGAGGATGCTGACAAAATGCAGAGTCTTCTGAACACCTTGAGCAGCAATCTTCGTATGTTTGGCATGCGATTCGCCCCTGCAAAATGTAAGATGCTGCTACAGGACTGGACCCCGTCAATCCCTAACTTAGTGATAGGGAGTGAAGTGATAGAACATGTTGACCACTTCACCTACTTGGGAAGTTGTATTAGCACCAACGGACTGATTGGCGATGAAATCTCAGCACGGATCCGAAAAGCTCGAGCTGCTTTCGCTGACTTACACCATCTCTGGCGTAGGCGTGACATCCGGTTATCAACCAAGGGACGTGTGTACTGCTCATCAGTTCGCTCCGTCCTTCTCTATGGCTCTGAAACATGGCCAATACGCGTTGAAGACATGAAAAGGTTGACTGCTTTCGATCATAGATGTCTGCGATCTCTGTCTCACGTTAGGTGGTTTCACAAGATAAGTAATGTTGACGTTAGGCGTAGAGTGTTGGGCAAAGAGGGAAAATCAATCGACGAGGCTATAAAGTTACATAGACTAAGATGGCTAGGTCACGTGGTGCGCATGCCTAACCACCGCCTCCCCCGACGGGCATTGCTAGCTGATATAGGTTCAGGTTGGAAAAGAGCCAGTGGTGGCCAAACAAAAACATGGCATCAATCCATGAAATCCTTGACAGTTAAACTGAGTCAGGTAGGGAGATGCAGACTCCCGGGTTGGGGCCCTCGGGACTCTAGGAATCAATGGCTGGAGACAATAGGTGACATGGCTCAAAATCGTTGTCAATGGCGCAGATGTATTCAGTCTCTGTAATCTTTCATATTCCTTTCTACCATTACCCATTCTGTTTCACTCTTATATTTGTCAAACTCTATTGATTCTCTTCACTCATCTTCTTGTCTACCTTGTGTGCTATTTGGAACGTGGCAACTCGAACTGCTGCACTTCGGTGCCAAGTTCTATGTTGAATCCAGACAGACAGGTGGATGTGTATTTAATTACTGAAATGCCTTATTGCTGCTAGGGGTGTAATGTACGGTTCGTATGCCTATATGTCAGCGCATTTTAACAGTGATAGAAGAAAAAGATGAGTCAGTAATAGAGAGGTTTCGTGTGCATTTCGGATTGTGAGGGCGATTGTTACTTTCCGGCTGCCCACACCATGGAAGTTGGTTGCGTGACCGCAGAGCCCAGGGGACAACTGCTTGAGGCCGGTCACACGCGCCCTGTTTTTGTTTGTTCTTTATTGTTTTGTGTGTCTCAGTATCATATATATCACTTCTGCCCTGTGACACGGCAGCAAGGAAGCGCAGTCGTTGTTAATCCAGGCCACGGCCTATCCAGCATGAAATTTTGTGGCTTTGTATGAATCATAGTATTGGATTGGGTAGCTGCTTTTTGTCTAACCGCTATCCAAACAACCTTTCTGGCATAGTAGGACCTCAAGAGACATAAGTCTCAGCCAGTATAGCTGGAATAGGTCATAGCGGTGTTTAAGCCCGACCACCACGTCAAGGTAGCAGCTTTCAGTCGGGATACAATGATACTCATATTTCAAGTATCCAGTCGAAAAAAGCATAAGTGTTGTATCTTACTACTTATTTCCTGGCATTGGACTCTGCTCATATATAGCATTTAAGCGTGTACATAAAGTCAGTTATGATTAGATGTTAAAAGTCTACTGACGAGGATCCCTCTAACTCGATTTCATGATTATCGCATGCGTCAATAAGGTGTATTTATTAACTTTAGGAAACGGATACTCTCCCTGAACTCCAGATCTAAACACTATGTAGAAGTCATATAACTTAGTGCTATGTTGTTTAGGCGATGATCGGAAACACCTTAGTATTGAATTATGTAAAGAAGTTAACATTTAACATTCACTGATCTATATGTTTAAGTGCATTATGGATGGTGCTGGTGAGTGATATATACCCCATAAAGTTTGACCACAGATTGATATCGGTTAGCGAACTATTGAAAGAAAGGAAGAGTCCGAGGACCGTTTTGTCCTAGTTCGGGACTCTTCAGTAACATACCCATGATCTGATGAGGGATATAATCCAAGGTCTTCATGCTGCGAGGAGAGCAAATTAATCATTGGGCTACTGGGAAGGAATTGACAGAAGTCAGAATTCATGTGGACTATTGGATTCTGTCCCAGTGTCTAAATGGTCAACTGGCCGGCGTCGTAATCTGAAGAGCTTGGGTTTGATCCTTCGTAAGTTTGTGGGTGATTACTAATAGGTATTCTTTTAAACCGCGACAAAACAGCTGTCCGGTACTCCTTGATTTTCAATGGTTCTCTAACTGATATCAGTCTGTGCTCAAACAGTCTGTGCACTCTTGAACAGAACAAAATTCTTATTTAGAGTTCTATTGCTGATCAACTTTAGAAAGTAGTGGATTTTTTTGTCATATGTACGGATGTAAATTTTGAGATAATTAAATTATCAGCTAATTCATAATTGTGCTGTCCTGATGACATATATCTAGACCAAAATTATCAGACTCATTTTAGAATCTATGCTCCTTGAATGGATATCTCGTTACTCGTGCTTAAAGTTCTTGGAGCTATGGCTCATTGATCTATACACTCGACTTCAAACCAGTAGGTGACGGGTTCGAGCCCTGCTCCAGCTACCAAAGTTCGGGCGGTCAGATAATATCACAAGCCCTGCGCTCAATAAATGTGGTTCATTGACAATTGTATAGAATGGCAAGTGGTCAACCACACGAAGTGGCTATGTTGGTAACGGCTAGCAAAGGCTGTCGTAACCCAGTGGCCTAATGGATAAAGATGTGGCGTTTGGGACAATTGGTGCCTAGGTTCGAGTCTCAATTGGAAAACATTATCAATCACTGAAAAGTGGGTACCTCCACATATGTAGTGAATAATTGAAAAACAATATAGCTGTAATTGTTTTCTTTTTTTAAAAATAAATTTTTTAGGTGAGAGATTTAACCCGTGAAGCAGTTGAATCAAATATGAATTTTTGTGGTTTTGTCATTATCTCTTGTCCATTGAAACCGGATTCAAGAAGTGTTGTACAACAATTGCTCAACTCTAGTCATCATGTTACTATGATTACTGGTGATAACCCGTTAACTGCTTGTCATGTAAGCAGTTTAGTTGGTATGACACGATCTGATATTCCTGTGCTTGTTTTAACACCACCAAATCCATTACGTAAGTATAATTGATCTCTTCTTAAGTTTTTTGTTTTTATTTGTTTATGTTTGCCTTCTGGCAGAAATATCTTAAGGCTTCAAGCTTGAGCAATAGTGTTATTCTAAAAAGATAGGGCATTAGGTAGCCTCCCTATTACGTGTTTATTATTGGCTGGTTCACTAAATGAGGTTTAGGAGTGTCCGTTGACTGGGCGTCGAACCTTAAGCCATGTGTGTGGGGTCGGTGAGTATTGTGCCGTTGAACCACTGTGGCGCACATCTTTACTGGAATAATATTCACTTACTGACGTTCACTGCTTTTACTGTATTGGGTTTCATACGACCAGTTCCCCTTATTAGTTCGAACCAAGAAAGAACGAAAATTTAATTTAATTTTAGACTTTCCCTTCGATTAATTAGACCGAAGTGCTCGGTCTCAGGTTGACATGTCGGCTTCTGGTGCAGATGCTTAGACGATGTCTGGGCATTTAATTAGAATTTAATTGGTGGATAGTGACTAACAATGGAATCCAGGATGAGCATTTCGTCCTATCTGGGACTCGTCAGCTAGATGCACCTGCATTTCCCAGTGAGTGATGATGTTCCCAACCATCCACCAATTAAATTCTAATTAAATGCACAGACATCGTCGAAGTATCTGCATAAGAAGCCGACATGTCAACCTGAGACCGAGCACTTCGGTCCAATCAAACGATGGGAAAATCTCAAAGTCAATTAAATTAATATGATACGTTGCACAAGGGGTGGCGCAAGTGGTCTAGTGGATAACGCTTTGGCGTTTGAAACTATAGGCAATGGGTTCGAGCCGCGGTGGGAATATCATCACTCCCTGGGGAATCTAGATACATCCAGATGACAAGTCTCAAACAGGGCGAAATGCGCATCCTGTATTCCACTGCTAGTCACCATCCACCAATTAAAGGACGCGAATATTTGTAGGATGGATAATGCAAGCTAGTTTTATCTTTCATGGATTCTTGTCAACTGTATAAAACCTAAGCAATATCAAAATATTAATTGCAAAAGGTCTGAATATACTTTTATCACAGTGACATTGAGAGAGTTATTAATAGCAGTATAAGCAACATACTTCCGAAATGATCTAAGCAGAAAGATTACTCAGTAGTGTTAGGAAAGGCTAACTATTTATTGTGTACAATATGGTGGAAAGCTCGAGACGGTGGGGATGAAAATTAATCATAACATTATGAGATAGACAAACGCGAAACACTTAGTTTGCCTAATTTTAATTTTCACTTGCCACTTTTCACTCTCACCCTCTTTAACTTTCCATCATATTATGTATAAATTCATCCTGTTGTTCGATTTTTTACTCTGCCTTAAGTCAATCATTGTTTCGAAGCAGAATTTGAAGTCGGTTCCCACCCTTCTTGTCTAAATATACTATAAATAGTTGATCTCTCTAGCGCTGATTATAATTTCAAAATTATGCTGCTTATACTGCCTATTAATAACTCTCTCAATGTCATTGTGATAAAAGTATATTCAGACTTTTTGTAACTAATATTTTGATACTGCTTAGGTTGTATACAGTTGACAGAAATCCATGAAAGATAAAGCGAGCTCGTATTATTCATCCTGCAGATATATTCATTCTTTCTTTGTATTTATGAGTTGTTTTGGCATTTAGAAAAGAAATGTCAACACATACTGACTGACTGACAGAAGGTTACGTAGATAAAGGTGGATGATGATCAGGAGAGTTTCGTATGCTTTTGGAAGTTTGTGAGTGGCTATTATTTCCTGGCTGCTCACACCATGGAAGTTGATTTTTTCTTGGGATATCTGAAATAGATAGGAGCGTTAGTGTTGCATAACCACACACCTTATGGGACAACTGCTTAAGGCCTGTTGTCATACGCGGCCATTTTGAATTGGATTTTAAAGTTGTTTCCGTATTAGGAACTTACCGCCGACTACGGACCACGGTAGGGTAAATCAGGATGTACAATTTTTGAGGTCGACCTTTTCTAGCTCCTACTCCTCTCTCCAGAGTGGATAGACAGCATAAACGGTATGCTAGTCATCTGGAAGAGACACCTTACTGATGTTACATCCTTTTTCCCTAGCAATACGGTTGTGGCCACAGACCCTTAGCACAGTGTAAACAGCTTATACCATGACGGTAACTGCTTTTAGTTTAGTCGTTATAGTAACAACCTTTCTGACATGATAGGACATGATGCAGGAACATTAGTTCCAGGCAGTTTTGCTTGTTGGGTGATTGCGATATACAAGTTTGATCATCATATTAATGTGGCAGCATATCTATCTAATAAATTTTTAAATTCTCTTTACATGCGTCACTAGATGACCATTCATTCGATAACTGATATGCATTAAATTTACCTGTGTTTGTTTCGTTTGTACATTTCTTGACAATATCAACTTATTGTTTTGTTTTCGTTTATATTTTCATAATACCTTTAAGTTAAGGCATATTGATTGATTGAAAGAAAAAGAGAAAGATCTCTCTTTCGGTAAATTTTATATGCTTATAACGCTTTCATTCCAATGATCCGTTATGTATGATAATGCCTGGGTAGTAAATAGTAGATGTTTGTGTGTGTATGTATGTTTATATATGTTTTGAACATGTATGTAGAGCTGTATGATAGGCGTTATCCTAGAAAATTGTACGATTGTTTCAAAAAATCTTTGAGATATGAGATGGTGATAATCGATATGGCATGCTTACTGTTTGTCCTTTGGTGCTGAGAGTCATGTCATTGCCTGCAGCCCTGGATAGTTTATACGATGTTGTTTTTTTCAGTTTGTGCCTAACGGTTGGAAAATGAGTTTGTAGATCATACACACATTAGATCATAGGTAATAAGGTAGTAAGACGGTTGAAGTTGAATTAGTTGTGTTCTCTGAGCTGGTTGATTTAGTTGTGAAGCTTTCGTCGTCCTTCTAGACAATATCTTCAGTTCAGGTCATAGTATAAAAACTCAAGCCTTCACTGAAGACGCTGTCTAGAAGGACGACAAAAGCTTCACAATTTAATCAACTAATTGGGAGAACACAAGTAATTCAATATCATGCACATGAGCCTCTCCATTGAAAGTGGAAGACATGAAAAGACTAGCTTTTTCATCATAGGTGCCTGCGTTCTACGTCCCGTGAGGAATATTGAGGTATGGCATACGTCGAGTGCTAGGTAAGGAGGGAGTGGAAATCAATCGACGAGGCTGTGAAGCTACATTGACTGAGATGTTTAGGACATGTGTTACGTATGCCTAGTCATCGCCTTCCTCGACCGATGGGCAGTGTTAGCTGACATGGGGTCAGACTGGAAAAGAGCTAGTGGCGGCCAAAGCAAAACATGGCTTCATTAGTCAACGAAATCCACAACGGTTAGTTTAAGCCACGTTTGAAGGTGTAGACTTCCTGACTAGTTTGCGTCCTCGGGGCTGTAAAAACCAATGGGTGGAGACAATCGTTGATATGGCTCAAAATCGTTCTCAGTGGCTGGCGCAGATGCATCCACTTCTTATGACTTATAATTTCCAGTGAAACTGTTTTGTTCTTCATTATTACTATTCCTTTTGTCTTATAGCCCTGTCTACTGTCTCTTCTTTGCATTTCTTCTACTTCCTTCTCTTGCTTTGTGTGCTACATGGAGTGTGACGACTTGAACTGCTTCACATCGGTGCAAAGTTCTATGTCAAAAACAGACAGATAGACTATTATTTCAAGACGGTTAAAGTGAAGAAAAATTTTCTTCTGTACGAATTAATCAATTAGGCTGCACAATAGCAAAAGGGTGACAAGGTTCTAGATCTGTTTCCGGTCGAGGGTCAAATTATAAGCAAAAAATGAGATTAACAACCAGCGATTAGAAAATTGATAACAAGAAGAATAAACAGGAAGTTTAGATAAAAAACATAATCGGATAATAATTATTCAGAAAAAATGCTTCTGTGGATCTGACAAAACTAGCCGTACCATGTATCCTCTTGTAAAACGCGCTTGACAATACTATCCAGCTTGGCTAGTGGAATGAGAATGTAGATGTGTTTTTACAGGGGATCCAGCTCCACTTGGAAAATCCTTCTAATTTCTATATAAGTTTCGATTAAACCTCCCAAGGGGAGGGAGACTAAAACATCTAAACATAGCTGAAAGACTAATGATGGAAAAATTCATACCAATCCTATCTATTCAAAAGAAGTTTGTTCAACCCTTGTCTTTATCATGGCCCCATCATAAACAGCCAATTTACTCAATAATTATTATCTAACTATGTTTTTGTCCAGAATTCCTGTTTATTTTCGTTATTGTCGCGTTTTTGATCCCTACTTATATTATTATTATTATTCATGATAATTTGAGCCTCTTTGGGAGATATTTCTAGAACTTTCTTACTCGCTTACTCACTTACATTCACGAATGTACGGCCTAGTTGATGACTTCGGAAAGAAAATTAGTTTGCAGCTGTGGAAATTCGGATTTTCAGTGGCAGTATTAAGTCAGTTATTCTATATGAGTCAGAAGCTTGGCGCGTCATGTAAAACATTTAGAATAGACCGTTGAAAACTTTTTCCAAAAGTTGCTCTCTACGGATCAAATGGCCGGAAAGAATGAGCACTGGGGAACTCTAGGAATGGATGAATCAAGAATCTATTGCTCGGTAAATATGCCAGAGGAAATAGAAATGGATCGGGACATACACAAGAAGACTGTTGGGTAACATTGCTCACCAGGTCCTCAAGTGGAACCGGAATAGAAAAGTAGTTGGGCATGGAGGAGGTCATGTGAGGCGCAGGACGAGGTGAAAGTTTATGGAGAATGGTAGGGCTAACTGAAGACGGCTTCAGAGAACAGGACAAATAGAGGTGTGCTACTGAACTCCAGAGTAATAACTTCTTTGTCATTATCCGTTATTTTTTGTTGTAGCCCATTGATGTATGAACCGCTTTACAACTTATAGATTTGAGTTATTGGAACGCTATTTCAATTAGTTTTGAATTTTCGGGGCGTCTGTTGCTTGGATGCGTGATATTCTTTCAGTTTATATATTCTAGGATCAGGAGGCGACAGTCGTTTCAGTGCCATCCTAGTCACCGTTTTCAGTGCAAGTTGAGAATGAGATTGTCGAGGGTAATTTGTATCTGTGTTCGTCTTATACTTTTTCCTTCTAAACATAATGATATTTTAATTGTTTTTTAATGATTTTCCCCCTGGTATTTTAGATGAAAAATGGCATTGGCAGTCAGTTGATGAGTCCATCGTGTTACCTGTTTTCAATGAAACAAAGCATACAAACTCTGAACTAAAACAACTTGCAATAAGCATGAATTGTGTTTAACCGGTGAAGGCATTGAATTCCTGTCTAAGTCGAATCCAACTTTTCTACAAAATTTAATACCCAAAGTTAAAATCTATGCTCGTGTTGCACCGAAACAAAAGGAATCCATTCTGGTTGAACTGAAGCGTATGGGATATGTAACATTAATGTGCGGTGATGGAACAAATGATGTTGGAGCTTTAAAGCAAGCACATGTTGGTGAGTAGTAATTCAGTTGTCTTGTTGTTGTTGTTGTTGAGTATCCTAAGTTTTTATTGGACTAAATTTGATTATATAAAGTATAATTATATTTTAATAGTTTACACACAATGATAAGTTTTGCTATTGGTAATATTTCGAGCGAAATTACTGCCCGTGTTCACACCACTGTTGGAATTGTTTTATTCACACATTTATGATTTGTACTCAGATATATAGTTCTTTTTTTTGCTCATTCATGTTTTGAGTGTGTATATGTGTGTTCAGAATTATACTCCACATTAATTCATGTGTTTGTATTTAGAATTATATTCCAAGTTGTTGATAGTTGTACTGAGTCACCCTTGTTACATGTATCCAGTGTGACTTTAATGAATATCGATTCTGTTATGAGTCTTTCTTTCCATTTGTTCATGTTTGTTTTTAGAATACACACAAATTGTCCCAATAGATATTGTGGTTTTTGTCCCATGCATGTGCAGCTATCGATGAATTTTTTTCAAGATTTTTGTAAGCTTGTGTCCCTGTGGGTTGACCTTTAGTTAGGCGTTTATGTTCATTCTCTCTTATTTTAAGTGATCTGGATGTTTGCCCCACATATTTAGTTGGACAGTCAGCACCAGATACTTTGTAAATGACATTGTTTTTATCCATCATTTTTATGGGATCTTTCAGTTGATTTATTTTATTTTTGATTAGATTCGTCGGTTTAAAGGTTGTTCGAATGCCGACATTTTTGAGGTTTCTTTGTATTGCCTCTGATGTACCATTTTTATATGGTATTGCGACTGTTTTTTTCCATTCTTCCTTCTTGTTATTCTCCGGTTTTACCCTCTTTTTTCTCTTTTTTATATTATCTTTTATGAATTCTCTAGGGTAGTTGTTTTCGAGTAGCATTTTGAATAGGACTTTTATTTCTTTACGCTGGTCCTCTGGTGCTGTTGTAAGTCAACGTATAAAAAAATCTATCTGCAAGACCTTGTATTAATCCTCGTTTTACCGAGAGTGGATGAGCTGAGTAATAATCAAGGAATCTTCCAGAATGTGTGGGTTTTCGATATATCGTTGTTTTTATACTACCGTCTGTCATTCTTTGTAGTTCTTTGTAGCAAACTACAAAGAAATGACCAGCGTAAAGAAATAAAAGTCCTATTCAAAATGCTACTCGAAAACAACTACCCTAGAGAATTCATAAAAGATAATATAAAAAAGAGAAAAAAGAGGGTAAAACCGGAGAATAACAAGAAGGAAGAATGGAAAAAAACAGTCGCAATACCATATAAAAATGGTACATCAGAGGCAATACAAAGAAACCTCAAAAATGTCGGCATTCGAACAACCTTTAAACCGACGAATCTAATCAAAAATAAAATAAATCAACTGAAAGATCCCATAAAAATGATGGATAAAAACAATGTCATTTACAAAGTATCTGGTGCTGACTGTCCAACTAAATATGTGGGGCAAACATCCAGATCACTTAAAATAAGAGTGAATGAACATAAACGCCTAACTAAAGGTCAACCCACAGGGACACAAGCTTACAAAAATCTTGAAAAAAATTCATCGATAGCTGCACATGCATGGGACAAAAACCACAATATCTATTGGGACAATGTGTGTATTCTAAAAACAAACATGAACAAATGGAAAGAAAGACTCATAACAGAATCGATATTCATTAAAGTCACACTGGATACATGTAACAAGGGTGACTCAGTACAACCATCAACAACTTGGAATATAATTCTAAATACAAACACATGAATTAATGTGGAGTATAATTCTGAACACACATATACACACTCAAAACATGAATGAGCAAAAAAAAGAACTATATATCTGAGTACAAATCATAAATGTGTGAATAAAACAATTCCAACAGTGGTGTGAACACGGGCAGTAATTTCGCTCGAAATATTACCAATAGCAAAACTTATCATTGTGTGTAAACTATTAAAATATAATTATACTTTATTTGATCTAATCCACAATGCTCAAACTTTTTACTGATATTAAATTTGATTATATTTTTTATGTTGATGTGTTTTTGCAATGGGAATTTCCTGAGATTTATTCCTGAGTTAGTTTACTTACCCCTACTAAGTTAATGAGTTAATTATTTTCTAAAAATTATTGCTCCACATTTAAGGTGATTGCTAAATAAGGTATAATTGAGCTCTTTTTATACCGAGATGTATTAATATTGTGGTTAGAACTGGCTGCTAACCAAATTGGTAGACACTAATTTACGTCAGTATATTAACGTCCCCCACAAGGGTCGTGGGAAAAATACGAACAAAGACTGATTCGACAACCAACCACAGCAGACTTTGCGTGGGCGAATAAAGTTTGCAGATAGATAATCTGAACTTCAAAAAAAAGGTCACAAAGAGTTAAAAGATTAACGTTCAGCGAGAAACCACCAATCAGAAGATAGTTTGTTTGTTAACAATAATCTATAATAATGTACATGTAAATCTATAAATATCTGTTGATTTCCTAAATAAAGGATCTGTTGCCTAGCCCTTGTCTTCTGCCGTTACGATATGAGTGAAGTGGTTGAGTGTATCGACCAACACACTTATTCGAGAAATTGCACCAGTCAACGCCAGTGGGTTGATAGTTGATGAAATCTTAGCATGGATGCGGAAGGCTTGTTTGGCATTTCCTAGCCATCTTACGCCATCCTTGGTGCAGACATGATATCGGATTAGCTGTCTTTGACGATGGGTGTTTGCTGCCTACCTCTTGTATTAAGTGTTGTAATATGGTGAGTAATATTGAAGTTAGGTGTAGTGTTAGGTAAGTAGAGGACGTCAGTCGGTGAAGTGGTGATGCTAAGTCAGTGGATAGAGGTGGCTAGGGCATGTATTAGGCATGTCTAGTCATTGTCTCCCTCGATGAACAATGTTAACCAACATTGGATTAGGTTGTGAAAGGGTTAAGGGTGGTCAAACCAAATGCTGGTATTAGTCCGTGATATCTTCATACATTTATTCCCCCTTATGAATTTGAATAAAGCAATAACAACAGTTTGTGCCACATGGAGAAGTGAAGACTGTCTGATTGAGGTCATTGAGACGCTAAGAATCAATAATTTCAGACTATTGGTGACTGTTTGTATTCCTTTACACTCCCAGTGGAACATAAGGCTCTAAGCGAGAGGCTTGTGGTTTCGGTAGCATTGGTGTTTATTTTTACAGGATGGGGTTGCTAGCCTCATGTCCAGCCTTCCCCTTTGCCAGCTTTTTTATTACTGGCTTAGCGAGGTAAAGGAGTGCGCTGGCTGGGGATTGAATCCCGGACCACCTGAGAGGTCGGCGAGCACTCTACCGCTGTGCCACCGACGCACAGGAGATTATCTGGCACCTTAGACCGCCATGCCACCCCGACCTCCCTATTGGTGCTACGGCTCAATATTTTTTAAAAATCTTCTGTACCAAGGTAAATAGTACGCGAAGGAGGCTTAACTGTGACAACTTTTATTAACCAAAATATATTATTTAACGGAGTGTTGCTGATTCGTGGCGTCGTCTAACTTGACTAGATTGTGCCTACGGAACACGACACTAATGTTCTTCTAAGGCCCTATATTCCACTAGAAATTCAAGGGGATTACTAATAATTGTCATATTTAATCTCTTGAATACAGTTTAAAAGTCGGTGCACTGACTGTTTGATGTTTACTCATCACTGTAGCTCAATGTAGATTTAATTTTGTTATTTGGTAATATATATATCCCTTTACGTGAAAGGTTTACAATACTATGTGTTACTTGTTTGTACTTTTTCTCGCTTTGTATATTGAATGTAGCAATCTTTCTTACTTGGTTACCTTTTTGGATATTCTGCCTAATTATCAGTATTTACTTGTCTGTCCTATATGCATATTAATAAAGTTTAAAAAAAAATCTTTTTCTGTATACACTAGGTGTTGCACTGCTCAATGAAGCTACTACAGTTCGTAGTTTATTGGATCTATTGGATACAAAAAAACCAAACCCTAACGGTACAATTAATCGTTCCGCCAATCGTGGAAATCGTTCAGATAAAAACACTGCGAATTCAAATGTAAACAATAAAACTACAGCTTCTTCACGTTTAGCTTCAAGTTTGGCTGCTGTTGAAGAACAAGAAGCATCAGTAGTCCGTTTAGGTGATGCTAGTATAGCGGCTCCTTTCACTGCTAAAATGTCTTCTCCTTCAGGAGGTAAGGTTATCCTGTTAGCTTTGTTTCGTTTTGTCCTGTAATGCCTTTAAATTACAATCATAATCTTACTAGCTTTGTGGCTTATTGCAGAAATCTTGAGAGGTGTTCAAAGTGTTTTTGTTAGACGGTTGGTAGCAATCAGCAGGAAACGGCAGACAATAATAATAATAATTTTATTAACATCTAATAACAGCAATCCACAGTGCACCGTGGCGACGATGAGCCACCTAGCTCGCTGATAACCACATTGCAAACTTGACTGATAGAATTCAGTCTGTACCAAACAAAGTACTAAGTGCATGATCCTAGTTACTTACTAGTGTCCAATCAAAGAATTGAAGTATGTTAGCCTGGACACTGTCTAGACTCCAGTCTTTTAGTATTTTCAAATTGAGCGGAAGGAAGGCATACTTGCAGATCCTGTTAGCACACGAGTCTTTTTCATTTTCATTTGATCGATTAATTATTTAGTTAGCGCTTACAGTGCATGTATGCATAGTTATCGTGATTGTGGGATCGCATTCGTGGTGTCACAAAATCCTAAATTAGTGTTGAGGACTCTCTATAGCTCCAACTATGTTACATAATACAGTTTAGTGTAGAGTTTTCGCTAGCCCTAATTTTCCAACCGATTGTAAACATGGAAAATCTAAATTTGAACTGTTCACGTAGCATGTATTGATGGAAACGGCATTGCACTTTAACTATCCAGTTAGACGGAGTTTACCTGTGTGTGTGTGCGCACTTACTGTTATTTGATCTGTTTTCCCTATGGTGGTGCTGGTGGGGGATTTCGATCACTGTGATAACTTCATCGATATCTCTTCTTCTTAAGATTTCTTACAAATGTAGGTCTAAGGGCTTGAAATGTGTACCGAGCTGCCATTTATGCAATCTGCTGTTTCTAAAAACGACCTACTAATACATACTAATATGGCCTTCATGATCATGAACTGGCTTATCAGTGAATAATAAGCTTGAATATTTGTGACGATCATCGATACTATAGAAAGTGTATGATCTTTGAAGTGAAAAAGAAACTTTTCCCCATTATATTGTTTCTTTGTGAGATATATATGAAAGTTTTATCTGCTGGAAGAAATCAGTATCACTCAAGTGTTGGAGGGGATCACTTTTTCAGCAAAATTCCATCAGCAAAGTCACTATTGAAAATTATTATCATTCAATGTCGGATTGAAATGTTGATCACGAATTTATTTCAGTTGAAAAAAGAATAATTGACACTGGCACAGCGGTTAGGACGATCGCCGACCGAACACTTGGTCCTGCCGACGCACTCCTTTACCTCACTAAGCCAGTAATAAACGCTGGTAATAATAATAACTTTATTCCACAACAATAACAATTTACAGCATGGAATTTTCAGCGTTTCTTTTACATATTGCAATGGTTTAGCTCTGTTTATAATTATATAAATGTATAAAATGTTAAAATATTGATAGTTAATAGGAAAAAATAAAACCCCAACAAAATCACACCATTGCTAGGTCATAGTGAATAATAAATAAATAATATAACAAATAACACATGCATTAATATGCATCATTACATTTTATAGTTTAGTTAATGATTCAAAAGTTGTAAAAGTTCTTTTCTGATATTTGTCTCTTCACACAATACTCGTGCCAAATATGGAACGGTCGAATTTTTATATTTTGTAGTACGAGCATAAATGTTTATAAAATTTCTTCTGGTCTTACCCGAAGAGATACAAGGAAACAATTGTGAATAAAGAGGATGTTCACTATCAGATAAGATAACTTTAGCTAAGTGTTTACAAGAATTCATATGCCTATTGACAACAGTGTCATTTAGTTGAGTCAAAGGGATAGCACTGACCCTACTTACAGCCCTCAATGTTCTTCGTAGTATTATATGGTCTTTCTTGAGTAGCCCAGGGAAGAATAATGGAGAACAATAAAGAATGATGGGCAAAACACATGAATTAATAAATTGTATGATAAGAGATTGGGTTATACCTGAGTGTCTCAACTTCTTTATGTAATAAGTCAGACGGAAAACTTTCTTAGAAACTATAAGAATATGAGACGACCAGCAAAGGTTTGAAGAGAAACTAATGCCAAGATAAGAAACACTTGACTTACTCTCTATCATGGTACCATCAATATTACAACAATCATGAGATTGAATCAATCCATGCATGTCTTTTTCACTTCTCAAGCTGAAATCAACAGTGTTACATTTAGTTGGATTTAGTTTAAGACCATTTGAGCCAGACCAATCCTTAACTTCAGCTAAGAAGCCATTCATATGGGAACAATCCGATGTGGAAACTACAGGGACAGAAACGGTCAGATCATCAGCATACTTAATGAAGTTAACTTTGGGTGAGTTCGGAAGGTCATGCAAAAAGAAAGAGAAAAGAAATGGAGAAAGTACTGCACCTTGAGGCACACCACTTTCAGTTAGCTGAGAAGTGGAGCGCTTTCCAGCCAAAACAGTATGCTGTTTCCTATCCTTAAAATAAGAAGACAGCCATCTAGTTGCCCAGGACTCTGTTTGTGCTGAAATCATCTTTCCTAATAAAAGTGTCCTAGGAACAGAGTCGAAAGCTGCAGTATAGTCTAAAAAAGCTGTTCGAACGAACTTAGCACCCTTATCAAGGCAGGAAACAATATTGTGGTGTAGTACAATGGCTGCATCTAATGTACTTCTTCCACACTTATAAGCAAACTGCTTAGGGTCACTAAAAGCTTTTAAAGAAGGTTTAAGAATATTCAAAAGAAGTTTCTCCATAGTTTTCAAAAAAGGAGATGTTATAGCGACCGGTCTAAACTTTATACCTGCTCCAGAAGATGATTTCTGTACAGGTACAACCTTGATTTCTTTCCAGTCAGCAGGTACCGTTTCCCTGTTAAATGATGCGTTAAAGATTTGAGTAAGAGGATGACACAAGATGTCTGCACACTTTTGAAGAAGAATGCTTGGTACACCATCTGGACCAAGGCTGTGTGTTGGATTTAATGATTTCAAACATAATAGTACATCCTTTTCTTTAAAACCCGGAAAATGACCATTTTCTTGACTAGGTACATCAGGTACAACCATATTAATTTGTTTCTTGATAAATGATTTGTTTAAAGCATTAACATCAGAATAAGCATCAACAGACATTTGTTTTTTACTTGTAAGTTTATTGAAAAGTTTCCAAATGTTTGAAGGATTTTTACATGATAAAAATTTTTCATTATATAGTCTGTTCAACCTTTCTATTTCAATTTTTATAAGGGTGTTTATTTTACGGACACCAGTATTATCACAATTCTTATACAACTTCTCTTTTTGTCTTCTAAGTTTTTTCAGTTGCAAAGAAGAGATTCTGTCAAATCTCGAAAACAGTGTTTCATATGGACAGCAAATTTCCAAACAAAACTTCAGATAATCGGTTATATTAGAGACAGTAGCATCCAACTTATCGTCAGTAAATAGTTCCCAGTTGGTATCATGCAACATGCTTCTTAATGCTAGAATGTTGTCATGGGAATATGAACGTTCATGTATCTTCTTTGTTAAATGACTAAACAATTTTCGTTGTAACTTGCCGTACACTTTCGGTAAAATACGAATAATGCAGTGGTCAGAATTTAGCAAAGGAGCTCTCCTTCGGGTTTCATATACATCACGGTCATTTATGAAAACCAGGTCTAGTGATTTGTCCAGACGTGTATTAAACTTGACTAGATTCTCATGACCAAGTGAAGTAAGAAAGCTGTGATCACATGAATTAAAATCACCACAGACTATAGACAACGAGTTTCCGAATGCAGGAGCAGCGAATTCAGTAAATTCATCTGCAAACATAACTATATTAGAAAGGCTACAATTGGGTGTTATGTAAATATTTGTTATGTATATATAAGAATATTTACTTAAGTGTTTTGGGCGACACCTGACGGTTATGCAATCTATATTGTCATTAGAATAATTGAAGCAAACGTGATTTGATGTAGACCAACTTGTGTTTATAAAAGTGGCTACCCCTCCTCCATATTTTTTCTTGGAACTTTTTCTATCTTGGCGAAAAACTTTATATCCATTTATTGAAACTAGATTATCATCATAATGCTGGTGCAGCCAAGTCTCTTGTATTGCTAAAACGCCAGCATTTCGATAAACATTGGAATACATTAGGGATTGAAGATAATCCATTTTGTTGGACAGGGATCTACAATTAGTGCTAACGAGTTCAGGAACAGTCATTTGATTAATTTGTGTACGTTTCAGTGCACGCTGCCAGCCACAGTGATGCTTTTTTCTCAATTTTTGTGGATGACACAACGCGGTAGGTTGTAATGATTTTAAAAATGCGCGATTATATATAATACGATTAGGACACATTATTGATAAATTAAAACAAAATTAAAAGAGCAAACCAAAGCAATTTTGCAAAATGTTGTAAGGTGGAATTTTTGGTAGCCCTATTTTCAGGCATGCCGCACACATAGCAGATTTTAGCTGCTTGTGTGCGGCATGCCTGAAAATAGGGCTACCAAAAATTCCACCTTACAACATTTTGCAAAATTGCTTTGGTTTGCTCTTTTAATTTTGTTTTAATTTATCAATAATGTGTCCTAATCGTATTATATATAATCGCGCATTTTTAAAATCATTACAACCTACTGCGTTGTGTCATCCACAAAAATTGAGAAAAAAGCATCACTGTGGCTGGCAGCGTGCACTGAAACGTACACAAATTAATCAAATGACTGTTCCTGAACTCGTTAGCACTAATTGTAGATCCCTGTCCAACAAAATGGATTATCTTCAATCCCTAATGTATTCTAATGTTTATCGAAATGCTGGCGTTTTAGCAATACAAGAGACTTGGCTGCACCAGCATTATGATGATAATCTAGTTTCAATAAATGGATATAAAGTTTTTCGCCAAGATAGAAAAAGTTCTAAGAAAAAATATGGAGGAGGGGTAGCCACTTTTATAAACACAAGTTGGTCTACATCAAATCACGTTTGCTTCAATTATTCTAATGACAATATAGATTGCATAACCGTCAGGTGTCGCCCAAAACACTTAAGTAAATATTCTTATATATACATAACAAATATTTACATAACACCCAATTGTAGCCTTTCTAATATAGTTATGTTTGCAGATGAATTTACTGAATTCGCTGCTCCTGCATTCGGAAACTCGTTGTCTATAGTCTGTGGTGATTTTAATTCATGTGATCACAGCTTTCTTACTTCACTTGGTCATGAGAATCTAGTCAAGTTTAATACACGTCTGGACAAATCACTAGACCTGGTTTTCATAAATGACCGTGATGTATATGAAACCCGAAGGAGAGCTCCTTTGCTAAATTCTGACCACTGCATTATTCGTATTTTACCGAAAGTGTACGGCAAGTTACAACAAAAATTGTTTAGTCATTTAACAAAGAAGATACATGAACGTTCATATTCCCATGACAACATTCTAGCACTAAGAAGCATGTTGTATGATACCAACTGGGAACTATTTACTGACGATAAGTTGGATGCTACTGTCTCTAATATAACCGATTATCTGAAGTTTTGTTTGGAAATTTGCTGTCCATATGAAACACTGTTTTCGAGATTTGACAGAATCTCTTCTTTGCAACTGAAAAAACTTAGAAGACAAAAAGAGAAGTTGTATAAGAATTGTGATAATACTGGTGTCCGTAAAATAAACACCCTTATAAAAATTGAAATAGAAAGGTTGAACAGACTATATAATGAAAAATTTTTATCATGTAAAAATCCTTCAAACATTTGGAAACTTTTCAATAAACTTACAAGTAAAAAACAAATGTCTGTTGATGCTTATTCTGATGTTAATGCTTTAAACAAATCATTTATCAAGAAACAAATTAATATGGTTGTACCTGATGTACCTAGTCAAGAAAATGGTCATTTTCCGGGTTTTAAAGAAAAGGATGTACTATTATGTTTGAAATCATTAAATCCAACACACAGCCTTGGTCCAGATGGTGTACCAAGCATTCTTCTTCAAAAGTGTGCAGACATCTTGTGTCATCCTCTTACTCAAATCTTTAACGCATCATTTAACAGGGAAACGGTACCTGCTGACTGGAAAGAAATCAAGGTTGTACCTGTACAGAAATCATCTTCTGGAGCAGGTATAAAGTTTAGACCGGTCGCTATAACATCTCCTTTTTTGAAAACTATGGAGAAACTTCTTTTGAATATTCTTAAACCTTCTTTAAAAGCTTTTAGTGACCCTAAGCAGTTTGCTTATAAGTGTGGAAGAAGTACATTAGATGCAGCCATTGTACTACACCACAATATTGTTTCCTGCCTTGATAAGGGTGCTAAGTTCGTTCGAACAGCTTTTTTAGACTATACTGCAGCTTTCGACTCTGTTCCTAGGACACTTTTATTAGGAAAGATGATTTCAGCACAAACAGAGTCCTGGGCAACTAGATGGCTGTCTTCTTATTTTAAGGATAGGAAACAGCATACTGTTTTGGCTGGAAAGCGCTCCACTTCTCAGCTAACTGAAAGTGGTGTGCCTCAAGGTGCAGTACTTTCTCCATTTCTTTTCTCTTTCTTTTTGCATGACCTTCCGAACTCACCCAAAGTTAACTTCATTAAGTATGCTGATGATCTGACCGTTTCTGTCCCTGTAGTTTCCACATCGGATTGTTCCCATATGAATGGCTTCTTAGCTGAAGTTAAGGATTGGTCTGGCTCAAATGGTCTTAAACTAAATCCAACTAAATGTAACACTGTTGATTTCAGCTTGAGAAGTGAAAAAGACATGCATGGATTGATTCAATCTCATGATTGTTGTAATATTGATGGTACCATGATAGAGAGTAAGTCAAGTGTTTCTTATCTTGGCATTAGTTTCTCTTCAAACCTTTGCTGGTCGTCTCATATTCTTATAGTTTCTAAGAAAGTTTTCCGTCTGACTTATTACATAAAGAAGTTGAGACACTCAGGTATAACCCAATCTCTTATCATACAATTTATTAATTCATGTGTTTTGCCCATCATTCTTTATTGTTCTCCATTATTCTTCCCTGGGCTACTCAAGAAAGACCATATAATACTACGAAGAACATTGAGGGCTGTAAGTAGGGTCAGTGCTATCCCTTTGACTCAACTAAATGACACTGTTGTCAATAGGCATATGAATTCTTGTAAACACTTAGCTAAAGTTATCTTATCTGATAGTGAACATCCTCTTTATTCACAATTGTTTCCTTGTATCTCTTCGGGTAAGACCAGAAGAAATTTTATAAACATTTATGCTCGTACTACAAAATATAAAAATTCGACCGTTCCATATTTGGCACGAGTATTGTGTGAAGAGACAAATATCAGAAAAGAACTTTTACAACTTTTAAATCATTAACTAAACTATAAAATGTAATGATGCATATTAATGCATGTGTTATTTGTTATATTATCTATTTATTATTCACTATGACCTAGCAATGGTGTGATTTTGTTGGGGTTTTATTTTTTCCTATTAACTATCAATATTTTAACATTTTATACATTTATATAATTATAAACCGAGCTAAACCATTGCAATATGTAAAAGAAACGCTGAAAATTCCATGCTGTAAATTGTTATTGTTGTGGAATAAAGTGATTACTATTAGGTTATGCTGTTTTTTTATTTTTATTAAACATCTCTGAAACTTTCAACTAAATGATGGCGAACTAAACGGGATCATGTGTTGTAAATCAACATCTGTCAGCCGCAAGGGAAGCTCTTTAGGCACGGCGAAAGTAATTTTCGACACCTCTAAGGGTAAATGTCGACTGTTCGTTCCAACACCTATGACACATACTGTATTCGAGACGTTACATAGCTTGTCGCATCCTGGTGTGAGCGCTACTACCAAACTACTAAGAGAAAGATTTATATGGCCGAACATTGACAGCGGTGTTAAGAAGTGGAGACGAAATTGCTTGCCCTGTCAAAGAGTCAAAATCAACCGACATGCCAATGCACCACTTGGTCGCCTCCCTAACTCCGACTCTAGATTTTACCATATAATGAGGAAAGGTTGGGCATGAGGCTAGCAACTCCATCCTGTAAAATAAACACTGGTAGAGAAACTTCAAGTCTCTAGGTTTAAGCCCTATGTTACACTAGGAACGTGAGGTAAAGAAATAAAGGAGTACTACTGGACAGTTGTTTTGTCACTGTCTGAGACTCGTCATCAGCGCGCACCTATTACCCCACTACAACTGGAACCCAGGGAGCTCATTGACCATTGATTGAGTCACTATGACGGAGTTCACCGGCTCATCATTTCTAACTTGTGCCAATTAACGATATTATAGTTCAACCAGTAGGTTCTGGTTTCGATATCTGCCTATAAAACTGGGCATTATCATTTAGACTTCGCACAATAAGTGTGTGGCTTCCAACCTTTTTTAGGTTAACTAACTTGGTTCTACTTATGTCTGTGTATAAGAAGAAGTGATCCTGGGCAATTATCGTTATTACACTTATATCCTACCATGAAAGGACCACATAGGGGCTTCTAGTCATATTATTCATGAATTTGAGTAGAGGAAGAGCAAATATTCATGCAGAATAACATGGATCCATTTTATTTCGTTGATCCTCATCAGCTGCGTATAACCCATACTTGTAAGTAAGTAAAAGTCAGTGTAAAATTTGACAACGAGCATATTATACGAGTGTCATGGTGAGATGTAACACCATGATGACAAGGTAGCTGAATTGTGAGTATATATACTTATACATATATCTTGTTAGAGAGAAGATTCTGGGAAGTTTATTGATCAGTTTTTTGTTAGGGTGGTAACAAATAAATTAGCAACAATTATGTGGCTAGATGAATTTGGTGTGCGAGAGGTCAAATGAAAAACTGATTATGTAATATCCTAAGGTTAAGAAGAATTACCTCTTATGAAAGTGAAACGGAAACAAAACGGGTGTGTGTGTGGGGGGTGTGTGAAAAAATAAGTTAGTGAAACTAGAAAACAAAGAGTTATTGCAGGATGATTCACCAGGGTGATTAGAGTCCAACGATAGATTCTTTTTGGACATAAAGGTCAGGTTTAAGCCGTTTCATTGTAATAGTCTGAGTCAACTAACGAAGACTTGAGCTATTTTGTCTGTTTATTATTTTGAATGATTCCAATGTGTCTATTCGGTGTCCCGTATCTATCAGATGTTTGGTAATTGAATAGCTTAAACTGTTTGGGCCCTTTGACCGGAAGCTCCTTGGTACATTTTTGAAGAATCTGATATGGGTTCTTCTTGCTGTTCTTCTGATGTAACTGCTCCCTCAGATACATGTGAATTGGTAATACCCATGTTATTTTCTGCTCAAATTTCTAAGAGGGAATTCTTGTAAAAAATTCACGAATTTATTGTGTTATTGTAAATAACGTCTTTATCTGTATGTGTGTGTGTGTGTGAGAGAGAGTGTACTTTTCCGCACTATTTATTTTTTTCTTTCAGTGTGTGAAATTGTTATGCAAGGACGTTGTACTCTAGTGACAACATTACAAATGTATAAGATATTGGCAATTAATGCATTGATAACAGCCTATAGTTCATCAGTTTTATTCTTAAAAGGCTTTAAAATATCCGATTCTCAAGCAACTATTCGAGCTCTTCTACTATCAGCGTGTTTCTTGTTCATTTCACGGTCGAAGGTATGTGTTGGTATCTTTTGAATTTCTTTATATTTTAATCATAGGGCATTTGAATATGAGTTAATGTGGTTTGTTTTCTTCGACATTGATCGTGGAGTGATATTAGTTAGGAAAATCACAGAGTACTGGACAGCTGTTTCATCCTAGTTTTTTTGGGAATCATCAGCAGTACGCACCCACTACCAAGGTTCGGTTACAAGTCAAGCTCGTATAACATTCAGCCAATGGGACCTGATTCAATGGTCAGTCTATGAATTCTAACTTCTACTAATTCGTGATTTAGGGTGAGCACCAACCAATGTTATCGGGGGGAAATCCATCCCCAGACTTGACTAAGTGGACCCCACTGGTTATGAATCCTCAGTAGAACTCCAGGAAACTCTGTTCTGTAGCCAGTCACTAGCGAGCATCAGATCAATTTTCAATAGTTGGTTTATAAGGATTAGATTTGTTTTTTCGAGCTTGACCAAATATGGGATCAGAGTTCAGGGAAGTGAATTAATGCATAACAATTTAGGTATACGCCTAACGTGGGTCACCTTCGTTGCTGTGGTGATGCTAGTCCTGCCGTCAAAGACTGAGTTTAGAGTGCTTAGGCGAACAGAGTCTCTCTTTATGCTTGTGAAACCTGGCTTTTCCGAGTTAATGATGTGCAGTGACTATGTCTGACTGTGATCACCACTGCTTCTGTAGAATCGTTCTTATCATCATGTATGTAATTAATCTTGAAGTTCGATTGCGTGTGATTAAACATCGTGAAGATTTGTTTTCACAAAGTGTTGTTATCTTTCAACATCTACTTCGGGGATCTGGACGTGTGCTACGTATATCGTCCCAGTGATTCCCACACCGTTCAGTGTTTTTTATCCCTGAGAATGAGTGAAAATAGCGAAGAGGTTGTTAGCGTATGATGTTGTGAGATGCAAGATAACTGTGCTGAGTTAGCATCTGTTTGCACATCACCATGTGTTTAATCGGGTAGAGTAGTCAGTAGAGACCTCCTCATACAATATGGTGTGCCTCATTATCGATTGCATAAAAGCGTAGACAGTTGTTGAATAGCAGAATAAAGCAACCAGCGTAACTTTTAATTGTTATGTACTCGTCGAGTAGTTAATAGTCCTGACACGGAAAGAGGGAAATCAGAAGACCACTAGGTTTACGATGATACTTGTATTTTTCCAGACAAGGAAAATAAATGTCACACAGGTGTGTGAGTGGAAGGGTACTTGGATGTACGAATGTGGGAACAAGAATCTAATACAAAAGTATGTATGAAAATGGCTAATACACATTAACCAATAAGGCAGTCCCATCGTGTTGGTGTAAGTCACTGATTATCCCCATATACAAGAAGGGAGACAATTCTTCCTGTGATAATCACAGAGGGATTAGCTTGACTATTATAGTATCTAAAGTCTTAGGCTCAATAATCATGCGTAGACTAAGTGGTGCTCGGGAGACACAAACACGAGAGAGCCAGGCAGGCTTTAGACCAGGAAGAGGGTGTATTGATAATATCTTCACCCTCCGACAGATTCTAGAACACAGGAATTCCTACCGGCGTCCAACAGTCATTATATTTCTTGACCTAAAGGCAGCATTCGACTCTGTCGATCGAGAAGTTCTCTGGAGATGCTTGGCTGTAAAGGGAATTCCGAGAAAATATATTGAAATGATTAAGGCACTCTACTCGTACTCATACAGCCAGGTGAGGGCTTACGGCGAGCTGTCATCTGAACTGATGACGACCAGTGGTGTCCGTCAAGGATGCCCATTATCTTCTTTTCTATTCAACTTCATCATAGATGTGTTAATGGACTTAACCCTAGGTGACTTCAGCGACTCAGGGATTGACTTGCTACCTGGGAATAATCTCGTTGACTTGGAATATGCAGACGATATAGTCCTTCTAGGCGAAGACGCTGACGAAATGTAGAGTCTTCTAAACACCTTGAGCCGCAATCTACGAATGTTTGGCATGCAATTCGCTCCCGCCAAATGCAAGATGATGTTACAGGACTGGACTACATCGACGCCTAGTTTAAAAATAGGGAGTGAAGTGGTAGAGCACGTTGACCGCTTCACTGATTTGTGAAGTACCATCAGCCCCAACGGGTTGATCTCTGACGAAATCTCAGCACGAATACAGGGGGCTCGTTTCGCATTTGCCAGTTTACGCCGACTCTGGCGTAGACGAGATGTTCGACTATCAACCAAAGGGCGGGTGTATTGCTCATCAGTCCGCTCCGTCCTCCTGTATGGTTGTGAGACCTGGCCACTGAGAGTGAAAGACATGAAAAGACTAGCTGTCTTTGATCATAGGTGCCTGCGTTCTATTTCCCGTGTAAAGTGGTATAATAAGGTGAGCAACATGGAGGTTAGGCACAGAGTTCTAGGTAAACAGGGGAAATCAATCGACGAAGTCGTGAAGCTACAAAGACTGAGATGGTTAGGACATGTGTTACGTATGCCAATCCATCGCCTCCCTCGACGAGCAATGTTAGCGGATATAGGGTCAGGCTGGAAAAAAGCTAGCGGCGGTCAAACAAAAACTTGGCCAACCAGTCAATGGAATCCACAACAGTTGGTCTAAGCCACGTAGGAAGGTGTAGACTTCCAGGCTGGGGTCCTCGGGACGGTAAAAATCTATGGTTGGAAACAATTTGTGACATGGCTCAAAACCGTTCTCAGTGGCGCAAATGCATCCACTCCTTGTGACTTATGATCTTCAATGAAACTGTTTTGTTTTTCTTTATTACTCCTTTGTCTCACACCTCTGCTCACTGTCTCTATTATGCTTTTCTTGTACTTTCTTCTCTTGCTTCGCGTGCTACACGGAATGTGGCGACTTGAACTTCCGCACATTTGTGCAAAGTTCTATGTCGAAAACAGACAGACAGAGACAGACATGATTGGTTGTAATGTCATATGATAACAAGGTCACACATGTTTATTTAGTTAGTGGAAAGACGAAAGCATATTGTCAGTTATAATGAAATATTGATCCATATACACATAGCAAAATATAAGACTGTCAAAAACAAAACACACATCATGTGGATACATATAATTAATTTACTTCGTTCTATCATTATGTTCAAGAGATAAGTGCTATGTAATCGGTCTATGTAATAACATTAAATTGAAGTAATAATCAAATTTAATTCTTATTAAAGTGATATGACCGTCAATTGCAGCCTGCTAGTTTTTTCGAAACTTTTGTTCTGACGAACTTTCTAACTAGTAATAGATTTGTGGGTCTTACTGTCCTAATCACTATTCTCAACGACAACTACCTGAACACAATGCCACTGATATGCGACGCAAAGAAGAATGGAAGAAGACAGACTGTTGAGCAGAGAGCTTGGATCAACAGTGAAAAAAGCTTGACATCTTTTCCATCTATAGCCTTAAGTGACCTTGATTTGATAAGCTAAAACAGTTAACAGCCAATAGGGTTCAGAGGTCACTGTAATGTAATAATAAGTGTAATATTTTAGAAAACTTGTTTGCATATAACACCTTCCTCCTTAGAAAAAAACTGAACGCGTACAACATAACTAGTACCTCTTCGCCTCTGGATCAATTTGGAACCGTACTGTTTGAGATCTCTTGAACTTGAACTTTCTTCTGTGTTGAAACTCCTTCATGGACATGGTGTAGTGACGTTGTAACTGATTTTAGTGTCTCATGCATATCTCATGCCCAACCTCAACTTCGTGATTCACTATTCCATGTTTACTTTTGATCTGACCTATCCACTTTGTTCTTCCTGGCCGGTAATCATGAGGATAGACGAGGTTGCTCTGCTGGAAATATCTCACAGTATTATTCCGGTGATTTGGTGACGAAGCCAGCACTGTATAGTGGTGGTAAGTCGCGTTAAAAGTTCTGCCGAACTCTCCTTCCCTTCTCTTGTGGGTGTCGTTGAGGTATACGAAAAAAAAATTCTGGTATAAATCCTAGTGTAGGCCCTCACCCTGCTCACAAAGTCGTAGTACGTACATAACTAAAAAGTCGCTCAGAGTTCTTTTGTTTTTTTACTGAAAATTCACATTTTAACGTATTCTTACAAGTGGTGTTAATTTGAGAAAAAAGTTTTTCATGTGTAGTCATCCTTAACATTTAAAAGACTTATTGTTCTATATATCCACGGCTGTATTAGGTTCATTTAAACTGAGTTTTCTCATAGAAAACCATGAAATTACGCTAGAATCTTTTCTCAATTCAAAAGGCCAAAGAACTATTGACTTCCAAAATAATTAAGACATAATTTGTTTCATACAGTCAGTTCCGTTTATTAGTTTGAATAAAGAAAAAATGAACATATTTGCAGGTTAATGGTAGCTCGTTTTATTTCGTGGATTCTCTTCAACTCGTTAACCCAGTCGAAAATAGATAAGTATCCTGCTCGTGTCAGCTCCAACTGCATTCACCAGTTCACCTGCACTTGCGGCGGCAAGTACAGAGGAAGAACTGAGAGGAGTCCATTTACTAGGTTCTCCGAGTATATCCCTAAAAGTCCCCGTCTGATGAAGGGCAGCAAAATGTTCTCAAAGGCGATTGTCAGACACCTAATTGACACGGGACATATAATGGAAATCAGTCAGGCTTTCAAAATAATTAATATACAACAAAAAGCGTAGTTACTTCGGTTCCTATAAGCCACTGTCACCAAAAGGCTTCGGCCCAACCTCTGTGTACAGAGAGATAACGTGACTAATCTCTCACTACCCGTGTAACCATAATTTTTTTGTTCGTGTGGTTTTGTGTTTTGTTCTGTTGCATAACATTCCACACAACCTTGATTTGTTTTTCACTCACTGAGTTGGACTCACTTTTAAGGTTCCAAATCTACTAGATTAAATTATTTTATAATTTTACTTCACTATTCACCCCCGCCCACCTGAACTCTACACCAAAGTATGTATAAATTAACTCTGTTGTTCTATCTCGTATTTTGTCCATAGTCCATCCTTGTTTCCTGGCGAAATCTGAATTCTATCAATTTTTTCTAATAACTATATAAATAGTTATTCTTTTAAACACTGAATAATTGTATACTTACATAATCTTTGAAATTATGTTGCATATACTCTCTATTAATAACTTGAAATCATCGTAAGATGCTTGTTCAGACACCATTTTGTAACTTATAATTGATTTATTTAAGATGTACTCAGTTGAAGAGAATCCCCGAAATAAAACGAGCTCGTATTATCCTGTAAATATGTCCTGGTTTTTTTCTTTATTCAAACATAATTTGTTACTCAGGTGAAGATTTTTTCGATCTTACTGTATTTTCTGAGCTTGGATCGTTTAACTGTGTTGGTGAGGAAAAGCGACCACTATAAAAACAAAAAGAAGAAAATTCTAGATTCATTTAGTGTCGATGGTTCTCATGTTATAATGCAAACAATGTTTATACATTCATTCGCTTTTATGAGTGTTTTTCCCCCTTTTTTTCTTCCAGCCGTTGAAAACTCTTTCACGTGAACGTCCTATGCCGAATATATTCAACTTGTACACATTATTAACAGTATTTCTACAGTTTCTTGTCCACTTTTATGTATTGTATGCTTTAACAATGGAGGCAGAATTACGAATGCCTAAAACGTGAGTTCTATTTTATGATATAGATTTTAAGTACCATCTCCTGGGCAGGTATTAATTGGGTTGTAACAACAGCAAGTGTTTGAATTCTGTGCGTTTTCGCGTTTATTGTGTGCCTGCTTGGGTTGCGTTTTATTTTTATTTGCCTAATGTAAACTGATGTGAATCTGGTGTATATGGGTTTAAATACTTAACTATCCGAACTAAACGCGTCTCAACTTTCTGAAACCTACCTCACCTCAGGCTGCATACACTAATCGTGTGTGTGTGTGTGTGATTGTGCACTTAATTGTTGAGTGACAGTTCAGTGCTAACTACCCTAAATGGATCAGTTACTTTGTCTTGTGCATTTCTGTTGTAATCCAGATGTGATGGATGTCTGCTTATAGACTGAAGCGTATGATTCATAAAAAATTAAGATTGAGCAAAGATTGTTCTTCTTGATAACCCACTCATTTGACTCTACAATTATATATATACGTAATATTGAAAGAGCGTTTGTTATTGACAACATTTCTATTTTTTAAGTAATATCGAATTGTTAAGATAAGTAGAAATACAGTTCAAAGTCATGTATGAGTGATAATATGCATAGAAATGTAATACTAAATTGAATAAGAGATAAAATAAGAAGGAAAATTCATGGGACAGTTAAAGATAGCTAAATCAGTAATGGCCAGGGTAGGGAGAGTGTTTGAACGAACTACTTCTGAACACATAAGTTCAGGTGGAATTTGAGGGCTTCAGCTATATGAAGAAGATGAACTCGTAGGGTGAAATGAAGATTAATCGGAATGCAGTAAATAACTTTAAATGCCTTGTTAACATCGTTTTCATGTTCAGCACGTCCACAGTCAGATAAAAGAAATCTAAGAATAAACCTTATTCGTCCCTTGTGTAATCACTCAGGATGATGTTCAGAAATCTGATGATGAACACACCTAATTGCTCGCCGTATGTAATTCTCTGCCCAGGTGCACTCATTCAGTAGTAGATAGACACAGAGAAGGCGAAATTAGTAGTTTATTCTTAACTTCCAAACATAGAATCGAAGTGGTTGTAAAGCGACAATGAAATTCTGATGCTCTGAATACTCTTTTTTTACTGTATTCTCGAAGCTTTATGTTAAAATTTCACTGATATTCTCAAGATACTCCAGTATTTAGCATAAAGTCTCCTTCGGAACTGGTGATATATTTATCTAGGAAAATATTCCAAGTTGTTAATTTGTTTGAAAATAACACTAAAAATGCTTGCAAATGCTTGTGATCCTACATCACCTACTTCAGTCTGGACAATTGGTTAAAATCAGTGGCTATGGAACATGAGAAATCTGTTCTGGTTAACTGAGTTCTGACTCGCTAACTGATTATATCGCAGCATTATTGTTCCCTTGGGTTACGAGTGAAACATAGAGCTTCAACAGTACATCTCCACTTTACTCTTTTTTCTGTTATCCTCTTCATTTAGGCCCACGATTGTCCATAATCCCTCATATCTCCTTCACTCGTCTCTTCCCATTCATGTTCCACTTGAGCCATGGCTTGGTGCGCGATGTCATTTTATGGTCTCCTCAACGTATGCCCTATCCATCCATCTCCATTTTCTCTTACTTATTTGTTGAACGATAGGTTCTCGGTTGGTTTGTTGCCGATTCTTTCTGGCTAGCCGGCTGGCCAGTACGCAACTAGTGAAGTGGATAGCTGTTGATAAAAGTTCGTAAATTGTTGGAAATATGCTTTTCGTGACCTACAGTACAAGTTTCCGACTGAATGACTTCACATTTTTGTTGAAAACCCTAATCTTGTTCTTTATGCTGGCTGAGTGAGTGAAGAAAATTTCCAAACTGGTTTAAGGCTGATGAAGGTGTATCTTGCCTTTCCGATTCTAGCCGACTGGCTTTACTTTCATCCGTGATGTCGCCTTTATATATATATATATATATATTATATATATATATATATATATATATATATATAGTGCCACTTAGGGGAAGTGTCTACTCTATAATTGTCGACCTTGGTATGCTGTGAACCAGTGGCTGAAGACTATTGATGATATGATTTAGTTCAGTTTCAGATTTTCCCGTCGATTGATTGAACCTAGGTGCTCGGGTCTCAGGTTTTCATGTCGGCTACTTGTCGTTGGCCCAAGTGGTCTTGTGGATAATGCTTTGGCGTTTGAAACTAAGGGCACTGGGTTTGAGCCTTGGAGGGAACACCATCACTCACCGGGGGAATGCAGATACATGCATCTGACGAGTCCCAAATGCGCGTTATCCTGGATTCCGCTGCTAGTCATCATCCACCAGTTAACTCCTGTTGATGATACGGCTCGAAATTGTTATCAATGAAGCAGATGCTTTCAGGTTTTGCTGTCTTCCCGATCCATTAAACCACCATATTCTTCCACGTTTCGTACATTTCTGCTGATTGTAATTCTTTTGAATATCTTTTCTCTCTCTGTTTCGCCTACCTTTGTGTCCTGGATAGACCTGGACTACATTAATTCTGTGCAGAGCTTTATAATGGGACTCAGTTTTATTTATTAATTGATCAGTTGCATTGAATGCTTTAATGTTAACATGTGTTCATTTTTGTGATGTATATTTATTGTTTATGTTTTCTAGGGATGACGGATTTGTGGATTTAAATGCTGAATTCGAACCTTCAATTCTAAATACTTTGGTGTATTTGATTGCAACTGGAATGCAAGTATGTGACTGCGCATATATATATATATATCCTTTTCTACTTTTATGTTGGTTGTGGTATGATCCTGTCCAGTAGACATCGGGGCATCAGATAATGAGGTAGACTGACAATATTAAGTGAAAGCCTATGTTCAAGGCTAAAACAGGAAAATGATTTGAATACTAGTAATGTGATCGTCAGTGGTACAGCGGCAGGATGTTCGCCAACTACGCCTCATTTGTAGTCCGGGGTTCGATCCCCGGCCACCGACGCACTCCTTTACGTCATTAAGCCAGTAATAAGACTGGTAAAAAGAGGGAAGGTTGGGCATGAGGCTAGCAACCCCAGTTCTGTAAAAATAAATACCACTTCTACCGAAACTTTAAGCCTCTAGCTTGAAGACCTATGTCGCACTGGGAATGTAAATGATTCAAAACAGTGTGATCGTAAGAATCGTCAAGCGTAATGTTTGAGGCAGTTGACTTTACCAAAGATGTTTTTAGTAGAACATCTTTTGCTCTATTTCTTGTTGTATTTACTAGCTTGATGTTGACTCAGGTACATACAGAGATGAGTAGTTGGATACTACTCACATCATTCAGTAGTAGTTTTTGATGTGGTGCTCAGTTTCCGGAGGAAACTATGTAGTGAAATTTCAGGTCGAACTGCGTAAATTACGAATTGAGCATTTGAGAAATTAATACAATTCATTTGTAGTTTGACCATGGATTGATATCAGTCAGAGAACTATTGGAAACAAGCAGGGAGTACTGGATGACTGTTTCGTCTTAGTTCGGGACTCATCCCTCCCCTTGGAGTTTGAACACAAGACCTTTCGATTACAGCGAAATCTCTGGACTATTCAGCCACCGGAAGGCGACTTAATAGTCAGCTCATGGATTCGAACTTCTACCAATTCATGATTTTGAGGCGACCACCAGCCAATGTCACCGGCGAGTATTTGTCCTCACCCCACTTGTCAAGATTTCCATTAGAACTCCAGGTAACTTTAGTCCTGTAGGCAGTCACCAATGAGCCTTCGTGGGTACCTACTACTGGAGAGTCCCAAACTACGACTAAACAGCTGTCCAGTACTCCTTGGTTTTCAATGGTTCTCTAACTGATATCAATCCACAAATTCTACCAATGCGCGGCTCTACTTACTATCTCCCAATATACGTTTTTGTAGTCTGTCTAGTAGCCTGTGTAAAATTCACTTCAAGTTCAGTGTAAATAAAGGTATAAATGTTAAAGATGTGACTGCATTGATTAAATGTAACGACCAAAACTGACGTATTGTAATCGGAACTCAGGAAACTAATCTTTGTGTTCCACTGAATAAGTGACCAAAACCCTTTGGAGTTACGTGCAATCACAAAAATGTCCCGATCATAGTAAAACAGACAGTTATTTCCGATAAAATCGGAGGTATCATTTAACAGTGGCAACATATTACTATTATTGTTCCCTTGGGTTTCTAGTGGAACATAGGGCTTCAGCTGCACGTCTCCACTTGCTCCTGTCTTCTGCTGTACTTTTCACTTGCATCCATGTTAGTCCATACTGTTTCAACTCCTCTTCACACCATGTCACCCTTGCACTGACGACCCACTCGCCGCTTCTCTTTCGGGTTTCACTCGATCGATGGCCTGACGCTCGCGCGATGTCACCCAGCGGCCTCCTCAGCGAGTGTCCAATCCACCTCAATCCACTTTCTCCTGCATATTTGTTGATGGATTGGTTCTTGTTTTGTTTGTTAGTGCCCATAGTTTCTTGTTGGTGATTGTTTCCGGCCCGGCCATCTGATCTTCAGTATAGAGCGAAGACAGTTGTTGGTTGATAAAAGTCTGCAACAGGTTGTTGGAAATATTCTTTTTGACCCGCCCGCCAAGTTCCTGATCCGTATAGAAGAAGTGACTGACTTGACGTTTGTATTGAAAATCCGACTGAATTTTGTTGTTGATACTGAGTGACGAAGATTTCCAGATTGATTTCAGGTTGATGAATGTGTTTCTCGCCTTCCTGATTCTCGCTCGATTAGACATCCTCGTCCGTTCCTCTGCCGGTAGTTGAGACAATGCTCCCTAGATAAGTGAATGAAGTAGCCTCTTTCAAATCCCTCCCGTTGATGGTGATTGGCGCTGGAGTGACAACAAATTAAATAACCAAAATTACCTCCAAAATACCGTTAGTCAGCTTTACAGATCGAATACCTCCTCATTTACAGGATAAGTACTATAGAACAAGAAAAATTAGTTAATCGAAATTCAATTGTAAGAAGTACTTGGGAATCAAGTAGAATATTCTAAAAAAGGTAGGGTTAGAACTTTGTCTGCAAGTATCACGCACCAAATGCTTCCTGCAGGCAGGCCAAGGTTAGAATGACCTGGATTCACTCAGACAAAATGCATCATGTAACAACACATAATCGCGATATCATCACACAACTACAAAAAGAAGCACTAACATCAGAGATTAAACAGCAGCAAAGACAAATAATGAGGATCAAGTCAATCAGCATATGATATGCAAATGTCAGGACAGTGATATTATAGCCTAGGAGAAAAGAGGAAAATAACTACAAAGTTATTCAGGTATTGGTTTGTAGGGATTTGGTTGATCGGTTACAGGATCTCATCATGAGCTTGACATTGGTTAGAGAATCATTGAAAAGCTTGGGAGTACTGTACATCTGTTTCGTCCTAGTTTGGGATTCTTCAGCTTACAGTTCGAGTTCGTAGACCATTAAGCCACTGGGACCTGATCCAATGGCCCTTTTCCAATTCACGATATAGTGCAACCGCTAGCCAGAAGGTCCTGGGTTCGAACCCGGTGGGTGCACACTGATGAAGAGTCCCAAACTAGGAAGAAACAGCTGTCCAGTACTCCCAGATTTTCCAATGGTCCTCTTCAGCTCATGATGAGGTCCTGTAACTACAAAGCTAGTTGAAATATATTCAAATAAGTATCAATATTATAATTGGATCGCAGAGGAGGGAGTTACCAAACAAATATCCCGTTGCAATGACTGTGTATTAGTTTATTTTCCAATTTGTGTGCTGACATGCATTGCGTATTTTTTTGTCATGCTCTATTCATCATAGACTGCAACATTGGCTGTGAACTATGCCGGACATCCATTCATGGAATCGTTAACTGAGAATAAACCAATGTTAATCTCTTTGATTGTTGCTGTTGTGGGACTTCTGGTTCTGCCTTTTCCTCCATTCGCTGGCTCACTACAATTAGTCAGTTTGGATTCTGATGTAAGTTTTGTTTTATTTCGTTTTGGAAAACACTTTAAATAAATTTATGTCTGTTGTGTATCGGGTTTATTAATCGGTAGGAAGTCATAGTGACGTAAGTTTTGTTCTTATTAGCACTTGTCAACAAGCAAGGTGTAACTCTTTTGATCCTTTTGAACATTTTAAGTCAGTCACGAATTGGTTGACACGGAAAGCAAACTAGAAGTTTTTCAGACGAGAGAACGTTTAACATTTGTGCATTGAAATTGGCAGTTTGTAGGAAGGAAAGAAGTTTTAGCAATAAATTGTTGCTGTGAAACTAGACAAGAGGAAATTCCAGTCAACTGAGGACTGATTACAAGTTTGTTCACGAAATATAATCAGTTAGAGAGCCATTGGAAAGCCAGAAAGTACTGGACAGGTGTTTCATCTCAGTTTCGGTCTTTCAGCAGTACTCACTCACTAGGGTTCAGGCGGAGAACCTGCTGAATACAAGGCGAGCTCATTGACCATTCAGCCACTGGCCCATTAATTCTTTCTTCTGTCGATTCGTGATATACATAACACAACCTCCAGCCAGTGTTGTAGCCGATTAAATGTTCTCTTATCTGACTTGATGGATCCCACTGGTTACGACTTCTCGCCAGAACTCGAGGTTACTGCCTGTATCAAGCCAGTTGCTAAGGGACTTCAGACTGATTATTAAGTGTTGGGATCCAGGGATTTGATTGGTTACAGATTTGATCACGAGCTGTGATATCGGTTAGAGAACCGTTGGAAAACCATCACCATCGGATCGGTTCCCAATGGCTGAATGATCTACGAGCTCGCCTCTTAACCGAGAGATCCTAGGCTCGAAACTCAGCAGTCCTGTCCTGATGAGCAGCCCCAATGAAGAGAGACGAAACTGCTCCCCACTACTGCCTCCTGGTTTTTGAATGCTTTTCTTAATGATGTCTGCTCGTGACGACTGAACTTGTAGCCAATCACATCCATGAAATTAACACTTAATAAATGAAAGCTAAAGCAAAAGAAGCAGAAAGTTTAAAGCAAACTTAAAGTACATTGATGTTCAGGTGTTAGTTTGCAGGGATTTGATTGGAGTCAGATTTCATCATGAACTGACATCGGTTAGAGAACCGTTGGAAAACCTGAGAGTACTGGGAAGCTGTTTCGTCCCATTTTGTGACTTCTCATCGGTTCGCACCCAGGTGCACCAGGGTTTGAATTCAGGAGTTTCCGGTTAGCCTACCTAATGATCTACGAGCTAGCCTTGCAACCTCGTCTTAATATTTGTTCGCTGGGTTACCTGACCTGTCACATGTTTTAACGCCGTTCTCGTGACTTTTAGTAGCCAGATCTGCCAAGGGCGATAGGATAGTGTAAGACCAAATGGTTGTGTGCAAGGTTTAAAGAAAAAGCATGTATATTATACGCATGCACCTTGCACTGATAATGTTTTCTCCTGTAGGTAATATCAACGTTATGCGTCGAGTGTTATGTAAGGTGTCGATGAAGTTGTAAAGCTTACCGTCTTTCTCAACGGACAGTTTTCTTTTTACCTAGCTTGAAACCAGGTTGAAAAAGATTTAGTGGTGGTCAAACCAAAACAGTTAGTTTGGGCCACATAGGGAGATGCGTAGGCTTCTTTGTTTAGTTCCTCGGAAATCTAGGAATCAATGACTTGAGACTACTGGGGATATGCTTCAATATGCATAAAAGTGGAACACATCAAGTTTGGAAAAAAAATATTCAACGGCACTGGAATGTTACGGGAAACAGAATAAGTATGTGGGAGAATAATGATGATTTCGGGAGTTGTTCATAAATGAGTCGATGAATCTGAGCCATTGAAAACAATTTTGAGCCTTGTCACCAGCAGTCTCAAGCCATTAGTACTCAGCGTCTCGGGGGACTGTAGTCAGACAGTCTACAACCACAACAGCCAAAGCCTTAATGGATTGATGGTAGGTTTTGATTTGATCACTCCTAAATCTTTTTCCAACAGAAATTGATGTCTTGCAATCGTAGCACCAGTACAACTAAAGTATTTAAAATTCTGTTATCGTCTAGTAGAATGGGGTTTACATGTGGTAACACTTTTCACTTCACCAAAAATTCGCAGTTTTTTCGCCTAATCTGTTGCGTAATCCCCTTTGATTTTGTCTTGTAGTGTTTCTTCACCGCTGTATTAGTTTATTGATTAATTAATCCGAGTATTGACATATCCGTAGGTGTTTACATGATTAGTCATGATATTGTGTTTGTTCTTAACATACTGCCTAACAACCATATTTAGGGTTTTCTCATGACTAACGATATAGTACATGTTTATTATTACCACTACGCCCTTGGGTTCCTAGGGGGGGATATAGGACTTCAAAAGCACATCGTCATCTATTCTGTTCTCTGAAGTCTTCTTTTCGAAAACTGACTCCATGATTCCCCACGAGCTTCTGTTTGCTCCTCTGTGTCACCGTTGGACCTGCGCTCATCGCGTTGTTTCCCAATCGGTTCCAACTCGAGGACTTAGTGCGTGATGTTACTGAACGATCTCATCAGTGTGTGTTTGTGTGTCCCCGTGTGTCTGGTCCATCTCCATTCCCTTCTGCATATTTATTTGGTGGTAAATTCTAGGTCGGTTTGTTGCCAGAGCTGCTAATCCCCTTCTGGTCACTGATCTTGGTGGTGAAAGTCTGCAGCAATCTGTAGGAGATGCTTTTCGTGACGTACACCATATAAGCGAATTAATGCTGGAATATATTAATCTGTATTTATGTCTAAAAAACTATTCTGTGGATACCTGTAGTTTTGTCTTAAAGAAAAAGGAGGGATATTGAATCATCATGATAATAATAATAGTAGTATGTTTCATTCTGTTTATTGATTTTTTTGTGCTAAGTGTTAGCTTCAATGTGAAAAAAATAGCATGATATGAAGTGAAAATTATTATGAATAGTTTTGTTTACCTTTGATTGAGTTCTAAGTAAGATTGTTTGTCCACTTACATTGATTGTATCACACATATAAATTGTTTATTGTTTATTTTTCTCTCTCTTTTTTTCATTTTCTCACCTCCGTGTCTCTTCGCCCCCCCCCCCTCGCCGCCATCTAGCTTCGTATCGTATTTTTCAAGCATTGATATTTGATTTTATTGGATCTTGGCTAGTTGATCGTGTATTACTCTTTGTATTTGGTCGGGTTAGTCAAAAGTCTTTGTAAAAAAGAAATAACCAATTATACTTCGTGTACTATTGTGATGATTATCACCGCATCACATACATACAGATAGATGGGTGGTGGATAGACAGAGACATAGATGCTTATCTACAGTTGTCTGGTGTATAGTGTTGATGACTGTTCACATTCTGTTTCTTTCTTCACTTCTTTTTCTCTCCTGTGTACATGGTTGTGTTTCAGCGGTGTACATCTCTCTATTAAAGTGTTGTACTTTATTTATCCGTCTGTCTGAATTTACTATAACTCTTGTTTGTCTGTCTTTCAATTGTCATCATAGTTGTCAGTTCTTCTTATGGTTATTCCAATAAACAGCACAGGTTAATTCATACTCTGGTTTTATCACATAATTTTATTGTATAGGGTGTGTGTGTGTGTGTGAGTGTGTAATAGATGTGTTAGAAACGTGTAAACTTGATGATTTCATGTTTTTGTTGTTGTTGTTATAGTTGAAAAAACGTGTTTTTCGTTCTTCTATTACTTGTGTCTATTGTTTTTAATGTAAACGTCTCTTTAATGCAAAGAAAACTCAAGCCAATTTTCTTTGCTAATACTCTGTTATATGTCGTTACATGTACTGCTTTCCTCTGTGTGTTTGTGTTCCTATTTAGTGGTGGTAGTGGTAGTGTGTACTTGAAAGAGTTTGCTTTTCTTCTGAAACTAACTAATTGCCTTAAGGTCTTTCATCTTTTTTTGTTATTTTGTCATTCTAATGAAGTGATGACATTAATTAATGCTCTAACAACTATTACTACTACTACTAATAATAATAAATCTTTGTAATGAATTGTTATATTGTATATAGAATTTTAATTGATTTTATTGTTTTTAGTTTCATGATTTTTCTAGCACCCTTTTTGTCTTCATTCCTTGTTATTTTTACGTTCCAAATGGTGTGGAACATGGTGCTATAAACCTTTTTTTGAAGTTTCATTAAGCGGAGGTGTTTTATTTTACGGGGCACGGGGTTGCTAGCCTCACGCCTAAATTGACTAAGCGAGGTTAAAAGAGTGTGTGTGTGTGCATGTTGGCTGCGAATGGAGCCCGGATCACTTGCAAAGTGTGTGTGTGTGTGGGGGGGCGAACAACCACTGACCTGGCCCCCTCCTTTCTGTAGTTGTCGACTTTCACTTCCGTTCGTCTCCTCTCTCCGTCTCTTCGTCACTTCTCTTATCCATTCATTCTTCTTTTCTGTTCTTAAGGAAGTTTCTTCCATAATTCGTTCTCAGTGTTAGTGTATGCTGTTTCAGAGAGAGAGAGAGAGCTTTGTTTATTTCTCAACTGAATGTTATCTGTTATTGTACTCTTGTAATAATGTTGTTCACATTATTTGAGTTTAAAAAAAGGATATTTGTTGGGTATAATTTATTTTATTATTATTATTATGATTAATTATTGTAATGACTGTCAGTCAATAGTATGCATCATGTTTGTTTAATTGATTTCTGGATGGAATAAATAAGTAGTATGTTTGTATAATCATTAAAAAAAAGAAAAAGCAACAGTCAGATTGTTTCTGTATTTCCTTGTTGTTGTTGTTGTATTGTTGAATAAACTTTTCAGTTTTCTTTTTTACCATTGCCTTTGTGATATTCAGAGTTATAGAATTTGTGGGTATTTTGAATTAATTACAGTTGCTAGATTTCTGTCACGAATCAACATTAGCTAAAGGGGTCATTGAAAAAACCAGAAGGCATTAGACAGCTGTTTCATTTTATCCTGGGGTTCTAGCAATTGAACTCAGCACCTTCACACTGTAAGGTTAGACTCGTTGTGACCATTCAACTATTTGGCCGGGGAATTCAGATGATCCAATAATTCTAAATTTTGATACAGCACTGCTCCTTATGAAATTAAAATTCAAGGGTTGTCGAATTCCAGTACAGGTGACTGGCTGGTCAGCAAACCTGGTCTCTTAGTCTGAAAGTCTTGGGTTGGATTCCTGGTGGGGTTTGTCGGTGTGCGCTGATTAAGAGTCCCAAAATAGGACGAAACAGCTCTCTTATACTCCTTCACTGGTCTTCAATGACCTGTCCAACTGACCTAGGTTCGTGACGAAAATCTAACAAATAAAATTGCCCTGTGTCTTATTTATTAGATAAACATGAAATGATTCTCGAGTAAAGTGTTATCGTTAAGAGGTCGATAAGAGTGTAGATATGTGGCGCATAGCACAATTAGCCCTAATTTTTTTCTTAATAATGAGACAATTACGTACATTATTCTTTGAACAGTGCAATCCAGAGTGGTCTAAGCCACGTAGAAAGGTGTAGACTTCCAGGCTGGGGTCCTCGGGACGGTAAAAATCTATGGTTGGAAACAATTGGTGACATGGCTCAAAATCGTTCTCAGTGGCGCAGATGCATCCACTCCCTGTGACTTATGATCTTCAGTGAAACTGTTTTGTATTTCTTTATTACTCCTTTGTCTCACAACTCTGCTCACTGTTTCTATTATGCTTTTCTTGTACTTTCTTCTCTTGCTTCGCGTGCTACACGGAATGTGGCGACTTGAACTTCCGCACATTTGTGCAAAGTTCTATGTCGAAAACAGACAGACAGACAGACAATCCAGAGTGGTGACTGACTGGGTATAGAGTCTGTCTGTCTTTCTGGATTCAACATAGAACTTGGCACCGAAGTGCAGCAGTTCCAGTTGCCACGTTCCAAATAGCACACAGAGGTAGACAAGAAGATGAGTGAAGAGAATCAATAGAGTTTGACAAATATAAGAGTGAAACAGAATGGGTAATGGTAGAAAGGAATATGAAAGATTACAGAGACTGAATACATCTGCGCCATTGACAACGATTTTGAGCCATGTCACCTATTGTCTCCAGCCATTGATTCCTAGAGTCAGTCCCGAGGGCCCCAACCCGGAAGTCTGCATCTCCCTACCTGACTGACTCAGTTTAACTGTCAAGGATTTCATGGATTGATGCCATGTTTTTGTTTGGCCACCACTGGCTCTTTTCCAACCTTCACCTATATCAGCTAGTAATGCCCGTCGGGGGAGGCGGTGGTTAGGCATGCGCAGCACGTGACCTAGCCATCTTAGTCTATGTAACTTTATAGCCTCGTCGATTGATTTTCCCTCTTTGCCCAACACTCTACGCCTAACGTCAACATTACTTACCTTATTAAACCACCTAACGTGAGACAGAGATCGCAGACATCTATGATCGAAAGCAGTCAACCTTTTCATGTCTTCAACGCGTATTGGCCATGTTTCAGAGCCATAGAGAAGGACGGAGCGAACTGATGAGCAGTACACACGTCCCTTGGTTGATAACCGGATGTCACGCCTACGCCAGAGATGGTGTAAGTCAGCGAAAGCAGCTCGAGCTTTTCGGATCCGTGCTGAGATTTCATCGCCAATCAGTCCGTTGGTGCTAATACAACTTCCCAAGTAGGTGAAGTGGTCAACATGTTCTATCACTTCACTCCCTATCACTAAGTTAGGGGTTGACGGGTCCAGTCCTGTAGCAGCATCTTACATTTTGTAGGGGCGAATCGCATGCCAAACATACGAAGATTGCTGCTCAAGGTGTTCAGAAGACTCTGCATTTTGTCAGCATCCTCCCCTAACAGGACTATGTCATCTGCATATTCTAAGTCCATTAGATTATTCCCTGGTAACAAGTCGATTCCTAAGTCACTACGTTCAGTTAAGGATACTTCCATCAGCATATCTATGATGAAGTTAAACAGAAATGGGGAAAGTGGACATCCCTGTCGGACACCACTGGTTGTTACCAATTCAGATGACAATTCCCCATAAGCCCTTACACGACTACGTGAGTTTGAATAGAGTGCCTTGATTAGTGCAATGTACTTTCTTGGCACTCCCTTCACAGTCAGACATTGCCATAGTACCTTTCGATCCACGGAGTCGAAGGCCGCCTTCAAGTCAAGAAATATGACAATTGTTGGACGCCGAAAAGTGTGTCTATGTTCTAGAATCTGTCGAAGAGTGAAGATATGATCTATGCACCCTCTACCTGGTCTAAAGCCTGCTTGATTTTCCCTTGTCTGTTCCTCCCGAGTTCTGCTTAGTCTATGTATGATTACTGAGCCTAGGATTTTAGAGACTATGTTCGTTAGTCGGGTATAGAGTTAATATAAGAATAAGACTTGTGCACCTGAAATCCTGTCTTCGCAGCCCACCTCTCCTTCTAACTTTGTCGGCTTCCACCCGTAAGTCATTAGAAGTAAACCGTCCAAACCTTCTAGTCTTCCTATCAGCCCAAAGTATTCCTGTATTCTCGTTCCCCACAGTCTTCAACACGTTCCAGTCTACCACAATCACGAATATCATCGTCGAGATATTAGGCAACCTTGTTTGACTGCTGCCTTCACATCAAAGGCTTTGTCAGGTTTCCTGTCGTGAATCTCTTCACATATATCATCATCATCATTTGTCTGTTGAATGTCACTGACAAATAGTTTCGGACACTCAGAAGTGTTGTGAAGCAGTTTCCAAATTACCTCACTGTCAACGCTATCTAAGGCCTTTACAAAGTTAATAAAGTTGAGGTGGAGATTTGACAAGCATTCTTTCCTCTCTTCGATAACAACGCTTAGGTTTGCTATTTGATTCTTATGTGATTTGCTTTTCTCTAATGCAACTTTTTCCGGGGGGGGGGGGGCAGTTTTGCTCGCAGGACATCTTCTAATCTCTCCAAGATGATGAGATTTAATATTTTGCTCGGCATGGGTAGGAAGATGATTCTATGACAATCTTTGCAAAGGCTCAAGTTATTCTATTTTAATAAATTGATAAGGTAACCTTCCTCCCAAACTTTCTGCAATAGCAACATGAGAATATCCATTACGATCTCCAGATCCATTCGCAGTGCGCCCCGAGGAATTCTGTCTGGTCCTAATACCTTTCTAGCTGGCTTTC